GTGCGGTACTCGGCTGAGGTCTTCCACGGTTAGTGGTAAACTCCCCACTAGGCTGACTTGAGCTGCACTGGAGGCTCGTCACCCTCTGGCCCACCCGTCTTTGTTACCTGTCTCAACCCTGGGACGGCACCAATTTGGGGCTTTCCTAGTGAGTACAGTAAGCTCATCAAAGGGATGAAGAGAAGTGGATATGCGCCTCAGGCTTGCTGAGATAAGGACCCAGAGCTCAGAAAGGAGGCCACCAGGCTTACCGCGTCCACAAAACCTCAGGCTCAACAGGCACTGACTGGGTCTGCTTGAATCAAAGCCTGTGCTCCCGACCGGAACAGCTGGCTTTTTAAAAAAAGAAAGAAAAAAAAAAAAAAAAGAAAAAAGAAAGAGGCTTTTCCCTGGTTTGCTTTGACTCAAAAGCTAGTCAGACTAAGAGGGAACCGAGGCCACTCACGCGACACAACTCTCTGGACCTTGGAGAGCCAGCCTGCCAAGTCGCATGGTCTTAAGAGAGCTAAGGCTGTCTCAAGACAGAACTCAGTGAGACTGCTCCTCCATTTCTGTCCTGTGGACCCCGCCAGGTCACACAGCCTTTGTGGCATGGTCCTCTGTTCATGCCCTGCCCTCCCCCGCAACCCATTCTTTCATCTTCTGTGGCAACAAGACCCAGAACAAAGGCCCAGCCTCTCTGGGTGACCAAGTTATAAACTACGGAAGGCGGTGGGCGAAACTTCCAGAAAGTGTCCCTAAAGAGGAGGCAAATCCTTTTTGTGCCCCTTCTTCCCGGGGTAGATTAGCTCCTCTCTCATCATTACGACAGAACACCTGGCAAAAGCCGCTCAAGGAGGAGTTTATTTTTGCTGATGGTTTGAGGTCACGGCTCACCACGGTGAGACGGCATGGCAGCAGGAGCATGAAGGAGCCGGCCACGTTGCATCCAGTCAGGAAGTGGAGAGAGATGGCGTTCAGCTCACTTCCTCAGGGTAGGATCCCAGACCCCCGGGATGCTACCGCCCACACTCAAGGCAGGTACTCGCATCCCAATTAATCCAGCCTAGAAACTCCCTCACAGACAGACACGCTGGGAGGTTTGTCGCTTAAGTGACTCTAGAGTCCACCAAGGTGATAACCGACATTAACCCTGACGGGAAGTCACACTGAGGACCAAACAATAGAAAGAGACAATCCCCTGCACCATGGAGCCCAGTCCTAGCCCTGGGTGGCCACCTTGGGCAGAAGTTGTTCTTCTCTGCTGGGTTGTTTATAGCCCTTCTCAAGAAGACCATAATCCCAACTGAGCAGACGGAAAGGTTCAGGCATTCTGCTGGCCTGCCCTGTTACCGTGGCAGAATGCACTCAGGCAGCACTCTGGTCAGCCCAGAGTTCCATGAGTACAGCCTGCACGCAGGTACAAAGGACCCATTTAAAAGGCAGACCCCGCACACTTACGCTCTCTTACCTCACTCCCCACGCTCTTCTCTCTACCCCTCTTCTGGTTTCTCATGCCCCCCCCCATCGCTCTCCCACCACTGTAATGCACTGGTTAATAATGTACTCTCTGTGGCTCGTGTTGTATCCCGGCGGTGCCCGCTTCCAACTCGCGTCTTTCGCTGCCTTTTCTAATGTTTTTAAACTTTCACAAGAGAACACCACAGACCAGCCTTCGTATGGAGCTGAAGGGGAGGGGATCTCATCACACACCCCATCAGGATAGCAGTCGAGGTGTGGGATAGTATCAGAAGGGCCCCGGGTGAGAACTGCCCCATAGAGCTCCCATGTGTAAATACGAGTTTGATTTTGTTAAGACACATAAAAGGAGCAGAACGGACTCACGAGGGAAAATACGCGCATCAGGTCGTGACAGAAGGCCGAGGTCACCAGAGCAATATGTAGTTATTGCCTTAGAGAGGGGCTTGGTGAGCTGCCCGATGGCAGAGCACTCTGCCCTGAAACAAGCCAGCCTCAGTGAGACACAGCCATTTCAACCAATGTCATCGTTTGTTCACAACGAATACATTTGTTCCTGGAATCCCTTCCCTCGGGAAACATAAAACATATTCACCTTAAAGTCCCAGTGACAAACCCAGGTGCAAAGCCACCCAAGTTCACCATCAGGAACGAAGGAGTTTATCTGGCTTCGCTACCAGGATATGGCTGCTCCTCCTAAAAAAGTCTATACCCAGTAGGGATGAGGACTTTCCCACAGCCATATACACGGACCCCCTCTCCCCCTAGTCTCTCTGGCCTACATACTCTAGCCCCCTCCCCAAGACCACACACAATTAGGGCATAACTGCATACAATAGGGGTTATGCAGTGGTTAGGTACTCAGATGAGGATCCCTGTCCCTCTCTGTGAGGGGCTGTAAACTCATCAGAAAGGCCAGCTAAGGTCTTTTGCAAGAGGGCACAACTGGACTCTGGAAGATGGCAGCTAATTGGCTCAGAAGACTGTCCCATACTAAATAGAGACTAAACTTTAAAAAGATTACTATATCTTGTTTGTTTACTTATGTGTGCATTCATGCATACCACAGCACACATGTAGAGGCCAGAGGACAACTTTCAGGAGCTGGTCCGGAGACTGAACTCAGGTTTCAGCCTTTGTGGGAAATGCATCTACCCACTGAGTCATCTCACTAGCCAAGAGTAAAACTTCGGTTTAAGGAACAAAATGCTTGCTCTGCCTTGGAAGAGTTGTATTACTGATTTCTAGGAAGCCAGGTTATATGATTTGAACATGCAGAATTCACTTTATGGTCCAGCTCAAGATAAGTTTTCTGCATTTTTCCTTCTGATTTTTAATTATGCCTCTGTTTGTGTATGCATGCACATGAGTGCAGTGCCAATGGAGCCCAGAGGAGGGCATCAGATCCCGTGGAGCTACAGCTACAGGCTTGGTGTTCAGAACCAAACTCAGGTCCTCTGGAAGAGCAGCAAGCCCTCTCAACCACTAAGCTATCCCTCCAGGCCCATAGAGTAAATTTTCAAGGGTAAGGGCATGTACACACTGTAGACACAGCGTTACTCCACATTTTAACTTTATATCCTTTAGCTTTACTGAGGTCTAATTGAGGTTGGGCTCTGTCAGCCTGGAGGACAGACAAGCCATTCATTGAAAGGACAGTGGGAAACTGCCTCTGTTACCCCGACACCCCCTGACAAGACAACAAAGCTTGAGGGTCAGTAAAGGGCTTGGAGATGAACCATTCCAGAGGGTCTCAAGGAACAGCGACTGCTTTACGGCATGTGAGCAGCCACTTACATAGTGGAAGCTACTAACTGGGATTGGTTAGCATATCGCCTCGGATTGGATACTGGAATGCTCACACCACCGGGGTCTCCATGGGCAAGAAACATATTAAAGGAGGCATGGAGAGTGCACACTCATCCACAGGCCAGCTACCAGCTACTCAGGCAACTTCAGAATTCAGAGTTCTGACACCAGGAGCACGGCATGCTACACCCTTCCCGTTCAGAGGCTCAGTGTGCCGAGTAGGCTGGCCACCAGGTGACTACTGCATTTTCTCCTACAGGCAACCAGAAGGTGTGTGTGCTGAATAGCTGTGATGTGGATAGGGCTAGGGATGAACTGTGCAAAGGAAACTCATGGGCTCCAGTTCCGGGGGCACCAGGAACAGAGATTGGTTTTAGAAGAGGCAAAGTTAGCAAGGTCCTTGCTACCTCCCAATCCAACAAGAACAGGGTCCAGCAGAGACCATAGCAAGAGGCCTCCCACTGTAAGCCAAGGAGGAAATCTTCAGAAAAAAAAAAAAAACACCTGGTGGCCTTGACCTTGAGGTCTGGGGCCACAAGGTCATGGGCTTCTGTGTCCACGTCTTCAGTCTTGCGCTTTTGTCGCAGCAGAGGTAACGGAGACCATCTGGGGAAAGAAAGGTGCAGAGCCCACTGGGACCCAGGACTCTGCCCCTCACGGAACTGTGGCCCAAGCGGGACGGCCAAGAATATTCCAGCAAGGGCAGCAGGGTTGAGGGAGCTGCTGCCCACACGGTGAGGACTTAGACCACAAAGGCGGAAGAGACCCAGAGGAAGTGAGGGTGGCGAGGCCTGGACATAATCATCAGGAGTTGGCTGATGGGTGGCTCAAGCCCGAGATCCTTCTGCCCTCTACTTCCCAGGGGCTTCGGTTACAAAACCCACAGAAGACTGCAGTGGCCGAAGCCATCACAGGCCGGTGAGAACATGTCCAAATACCCAGCTGTGTGGAGGGCGTGCCAAGACGAGGGGTCTGAGCACGTACAGGGTGACCGCCACACTGTGAGGATTGGATAAAGACGGGATGGACACAACTCTTCATGTTCACTGGCCTCTGGCCTGGGCACACGGGAGGATATCACAGTGGTCGACACACAGAGTCCACTCTCAGTGGTACGACCACAGCCACAGGCCACATTTGGAGCAAGAGCCCACACTAACCAAGCGTGGGCCACGGGGACCCACAAGGTGCACCTATGTTAAGGCCTTGGTCCGGTCCATTTCCTTGGTAACGAGACACCACATTCTCCAGGTGAGCATACACCTACTTCCAAGCATCACTGCAGCAGCAAGCGGCCCTACAACAAGGTGCAGGCTACAGAGCTGACAGGGGCCTCTGATCCTTTCACAGGTATACCATCAGGAACCTCAGGAGCCACACCGGGCGGTGAGGTAACCATGAAGAAGGAAAGACAAGCTAAGGACGGGAGACTAGGAGGGGAACCTGGGATCCTAAGGCATGGGCTGCTTTTTCCGTAGGTGGTGATGGGGACAAAACACTTGATCATTTACGTTTTCTTTATCAAATGACACAGGACTCATGCTAGAGGAGAAGGTGCTGCTTTTATCTCTGAAGACTGGGGCTCTTGCTCTAAAGTCACTTGCTGAACTCTGCTGGGTGCTCTGCCAGTCAGGCAGAGGGGACCATCTGGCAGCCAGGCTTTGGGCAGGATAAACCCTGTTGGACTTAGGATGCCAGCTACTCCCTCCCAGGCACAAAAGGTTATCCACAGCTGCAGAATAGAACGTAGGTTTATTTGTCGTAAAAACCATAGTCCGGGGAGGAAAACCCATTGGCAAATGTACAATTGTTCCATTAGGGGGTACTGCTGGCTGTGGGACCCCCTCATCCCTGACTTGCATGCAATGCACTGCAAATGTTCACAGCTGATCTCAGGCCCCCAGTCCTCAGCCCTCAAATGGTGTCCAGTCTCCTGCAGAGGTGCCTGTGGTCCAGCTTGCCCACCACCCTGCTCAGTGTGGCGTGGAAACAAACAACCCAAACCAAATACAAACATCTAAACAAACACAAAACATTCACAAAACCCGGGTCCTCGATGATTCTTTTTCTCAGTGTCCTTCATAATCATGACTTCTATCATGACAAACTAAAATATACATCATTTTGCTATTATAGACTCTTATTCACATATATAATGGGAGATTTAGATGAAATAATTACAACTTCCCCCCTCTAAAACACAAATAGGCAAAACAAAATAGGATAAAACAACAACAAACAAACAAAAACCAGAAGAAACTAAAGAACAAGGATGTTCTGAGGGCATCCCTATGGAAGGGCCCGACAGGGTCCTCCCCTTGGCCTGCACCGGGCACTGGTGTGCAAAGCTGTGCAAAGTGGCCTGAGGCCCCGACTCTCTCCAGGACAACTCCTCACTCCACACCAGCTTCTCACGGCTTGAGCCTCTCCAGGGTGTCTCGCCTTCTGTTGCTCCCTATCTACTGAAATCCTCCTCGCCCCCCCCCCACATCCCAACAAGCTGCGTGCGGGCATCAAGCTGGAAGACATGCGGCCAACTCTGGAAAATATCCCCAGGTGCAAGGTGGTGCCCAGTCCCCCTGCAGCAGGGACAATGTCTCAAAGCCTAGCTCCCTCCTCACCCAGGACTGGGCAGCTAGACGGAGGGAGAAAGGGCCCCCAAAAATCTAAGCTTTCACACGGAATTCTGGGTAGGGAGAAATAGGGGCTGGCCACGCCAGAGGTCAAAGGCCAGGGAGCACCAGGAAAGGGGGGTGAAAGGGTGAAGACACCCCAAGAGCACTTATTTTGGGTTGGCCACAGGCCCAGTGAGTGGGCTGCGGGAATCTTTGTGAGGACACCTGTCAAGGGCTAGAACCAACATCTAGTGCAGAGGCCAGCAGACTCCTAGGACCATGGTTTGGAATGCAGAAGATGCGAGTGCCTCCTGGAGAGAAAGAGGCAGTGGGGGAGGGGAGCCTGGTTCTCTCCTCTGCCCTTTGGGGTTCACAGATGTGTCCCCTGGCAGCAGGGCAGGGAAGACCCCAGGAAACGAAGAACAGTACCACTGACTGGGGGTGGGCCAGGGGTGGGGGCAGCAATGTCATCGTTCCAAAGGCCCCTCCCGAGAGAGGGGCCTGCCCAGTCAACACTCAGCAGGACCTAATGTGTTGGGAAGGGAGGCAGTCAGGCAAAGCTGCGGAGCCAGCAGGGCCCAGGGCTCCTGCACAAACTCTCCGATCCTGCACCCCGGATGGGCCTAGAGTGTGCTACAGCACAGTGTGGTCCTGCCTGCCTCCCAAGACCTGACACCTACTCTAGAGAGCAGCAGAAAAGACAGGCAGATCAGTGCGGGGCTGAGCGGACGGGGCTCGGAAGGGCCCCCTCTGCTGTCCCCAGCCCTCCCTGGCACACCATGAGTTGAGTTCTAGGCTCCTGAACAGCTAAACCAGAGGGGCAGGCGGTGGCTTCTGACCTTGGCTGTCATCCACACCCGCCTGGCCACGTTGCCTGAGTGCCCTCTCCTTGGTGCTCTGGGTGTGGCCAGCACAGGTTTCCTCTATGTACAAGGAATGTACCCAGGGGCAGGCCACCCAGGGCAGGTGACGGTGGAACACCTTCCCCATCCCTGTGGGTCCTAACAGCTGCAGGCTTGGCAGGCAGTTCCCAGAGCCATGGAGAGGCCAGAGGTGGACTTCAGAGCTGGGGAGACTCCCAAGAACATCCGTGAGTCCCGCAGGTCTCGCCTTCACTGGACGCCCTCCTCTTCCACGTACGTTGAAGGGAACCAACCGATCTGAAAGAGATGGCGGGACATGTGTGTCTGCATGCGTGTGCACATGGAGAGGGTGTATGTGTGTGCACTATCTAAACTCATAATGATGACGATAGCCTATACAGAGTTCTGATGAATAAAAATAAATACAAGGGTACGTTTCACAGCCAGGGTCTGAGAGTTTCACCTAAGGGGCTGCACAGATTGTAGCTCAATTTAATGATTGAGAAAACAAAAAACAATTGAAGTCCCAGTAGCCCAGCTATTTAAATTCTTTTATCCTTAATGTTTGGAGATATGTTCACAGGTTTTGGAGCATCACAGCTAAAACATAGCTTTGAAGATAACAAGGTCTAAAATGTTTTCTCTTAAATAGCTTTTAGGTAAAAAGAAATCCAAGAAGACAATCTAAAGTTTTAGAAAGGCACATAGTTGAATGCAGAACTCATTAAGGTCAGGGAATCAGAACAAAGCACCCTAATTACCATAGGTTGACGGTTGAGGTACCTTTATTGCTAGGGTTGGCTGATGACCAAAGATGATGGCTAATTCCTTATACCCATTTCTGCCCTCAATCTCAAACATAAAAAAATACTGATGAGTGGGTATGCAGCCTAAAGATTTAAAGCAGAGCTGACTGACTCTTTTTAATATATAAAAGTTTAGGTTTGCCAGGCAGTGGTGGCTCACGCCTTAATCCCAGCACTTGGGAGGCAGAGGCAGGCAGATCTCTGTGAGTTCGAGGGCAGCCTGGTCTACTGAATGAGTTCCAGAACAGACTCCAAAGCTACAGAAAAACCCTGTTTTGAAAAGCCACAAAACAAAACAAAAAGTTTAGGTTTGTGATTCCTTTAAGACTCCTCATAAGAGTACCTTTCAAGTAATAAAGTAATAATAGTAAGTAATAAAAGTAATTGGCCCTTTCTTTGTAACTGCAAGCAAAATGCAAAATGCAGCCTGCCAATGAAACGGCTGACAAGAATACCTCTCTTGCCCACAGTTCATCTTTAGCAAGTTACTTGAGTATGAATACATGTGGGCTCTTGGGATTTGTTTTTCACCTGTGGTATGTAAAATATTTAATCACGTAAGGGATATGGAAAACATGCTGCTTTTCACTGTTTGTTCTGTATTCATTGTAATCATTCGCTTGAAAAACAGAATGTAACCACATTGTAATTCCTACATTGCCTGAAACATTTTGCTGGAGTATATAAGCTATAGAAAAATAAAAGGTATTCAGTAGAAAGAACAGAGAAAGAACATTAGAGAACAGAGAATAAAAAAGAAAGCCATCAAGAGAGGGTGTGTCTTTTTCCCTAACTCCCCTCAGAAAGGAAAAGCTTATGCCAACTCTGTGGATTCCTTTCAAAGTCTGTGCTGCCGGAGGCTGGCCCCCTAGACAGCAGTAGAATCTGGACACAGGACATCACAATCAGAATCCATCCTAGATAGCATCTGAGAGAAGTCTTGATTAAGGGATTCTCTGGATCAGACTCGTCTGTGGGACTCCCTTGACTGTTGAATGATGCAGGGGAGTTCAGCCCACTGTGAGCAGCACCATCCCCTAAGCAGTTGATCTGACACATGTAAGATGAAATAAACCCTTTCCTCCTTCCCCTAAGCTGCTTTTGGTCAGAGTGTTTTATCACAGTAACAGAATGAAATAGAACACATGCTGTAACCCTGATGAGTGACAATCCCCTTGTGTACACTAACGTAAAGCTATGCCTCTGTCTAAATGTAAGGAACATCAAACCTAACCATGGGATAAAAAATAACAGTCCCGTCTCCAAACTCTTACAAGCCATATACGACTGAGAGAAACTGTAGAACATTCCAGTTAGGATGATGGTCATGGTCCCATGTATCCAGTAAACAACAGCAAGAAGAAAGATAATTGAGAAAACTGGTGAAATTAGAAAATTTGACTATAAACCAGAAAACTGTATTGTGTCAAAGGAGAAAAGCATTGACCTCAGGAAATATTAAGGAGTTAAAAAAAATGTCATTTGGGCTGGAGAGATGGCTCAGGGGTTAAGAGCACCGCCCACTCTTCCAGAGGACCTGAGTTCAATTCCCAGCAACCACATGTGGCTCACAACCATCTTTTTTTTTTTTAAGAAATTTTTAAGATTTATTTATTTATTATATATAGAGCATTCAGCCTTGGGTGCCAGAAGAGGGCACCAAATCTCATTATAGATGGTTGGGAGAAAACTAATTTATAATTCAAGGCTGTGAGGTCCTCATGCCATCTCAGCAGTAAAAGTCCTCTCTGAAGAGACTCTGTATAGTTCAAGTGCATTCGTAACCACCAGAATATTAGCATATGTGGCAAAAGAGTATATAACTAAAAAAAAAAATCAATCACGAGGAGAAGTGAAGTAGATAAAAAACAAAATATTGGCTAACCCGAAAGTTGCTCAGAAAAGAGAGGGGGTTGGAACTGACAATAAGCAAGAAGATGGTGGATTTACAAATGAATAGCCAAGTATTTATACTAAATGAAAATGGACTACATAAACCTACTAAAGGGCAAAGACCACCACATTCATTCACTTAAAAAAAAAACCCAACTGGTTATAAGACACTCATCTCAAGAACAAGGAAAGAGAAAAACCAACAATAACAGGAGAGAGTGGAGAGGTGGTTAGAAATGCGCCCACTCAAGGAACACTGACGCCTTCTGTTAGTACACGGGCTTAGCAGTAACATTACCAGAGATAAAGAGGCATTTCACGATGACAGCAGGTTAAATCAACAAGAGCCACTCACAAAAGCTCAAACCAGCTATTTCTAAACTGCACTACATACGTAACTGCCTGGACCCGGTGAGGGCCCAAGCAAGTTACTGACTCACAGCCCCAGTTGTTTCCAATACAACTGGCATTGGCCTGCCCTCAGGGCTAGCCTTCAAAGTTGCTGCTAGGATTCAGCCGCCTTCACTCTTCTGAAGGGCAGCTGGGTATCAGTGAACATATCTGGGGTCTGCAACACGGATGACAGGCTGAGTGGGAACAGAATGGCTCCTGCTACCAGCTGTAGAATGTTCAGCAGGGGAGCCGAGGCTGCCTGGCCCTCTGCAGACAAGTACATCTATCTGCCTGGGTACCTGGAGCCCTAGGAAAATCCAGTTTGTCCTGCTGGCGGCACATGGAGCTCTCTGCCTTTCCAAAACATTGCTCAGCGACCTGGGTCAAAGCCAGTGGATCTAGATGGGCCCAGGAATAGAGAGGGCTTTTTGCAGGACCTCTGGGGGAAAGAGTCTGAGGGAACGAACCACCTGGCAGTCACTGGAAACAAGAAGAAGGGAGGGAGTGGGTAGGACCTGAGGGGTCCCTGTGGCTTCCCTACCTGCAAGTGACTGGAAGACTGCATGTAAAACCGTTTCTGAGTGACCACAAAGGCAGAGAATCAGGGTGTGACACAGTATAGGATCTGTGGGGTCTGGATGGAGACCTGGCCAGTGTGTCTAGGATCATAGTGACCATCTGGATTCTCAGTTCTCACCCCCGCCCCTGTGACATCAGGGAGGTGTCAGACACAGTGTGCCTAGAACAAGGCTGAGCATAGTGGAGACTGTAGAACAGTTTGTCTGAGTCCAGCGGGGTCAGAGCCAGCCCTGGGGCTCTGCATGAAGCCCTCAAGTTACTCACCCGCCCATTGGTCTCGCCTTTCCACCAGCCCTGGTCACCACCGATTCGGCTATAGATCTTGACCACGTCACCTTCCCGCAGCGACAGCTCCCTCATGTCCCGTGCAGCAAAGTTGTACCTGGCCACAGCTGTGCCAATGACCCTCGGTGTGAACACTATTGGGACAGAGGGGGTGGGACATCACACATCTGCAGGAACTGCTCAGTCGGAAGCCCGGAAGCCCTCAGACTGAGCGGGGTCTCTTCCCTGTCTGTGTCCACAGCTAGGGGTCTCTGGAGGGTCACACTGGCCTCTAGCTCAGGGACCTTCACACCTTGGTGGGTTTGGGGATATGACACACCCACGCATGCACTAGAAGGGGACTGGAATACATCACCCATGCTGGGCAGCTATGTCAGGCAACAAGCATGTCATGGTGAGCAGAGCAGGCACCCATGCCTTGACCACTACGGCTCGTGGTATCCCCATCCCAGACCTCCAGACTTAGACTGGAAACCCACTGAACTGGTTCAGCCCAGAACTCAGAAGTCCTGAGGGGCAGGCGACAATGGCAGTGACTGAGGGGACACGCACAGCCAAACGAGAAGGGCTTTGGCTCTGGCAACAGAAAGTATGTCATACCAGGGATGACCGAAGCCCCCTCCTTTAGGGCCCATCCCGTTCCCACAGCAGCTTTCACAGCCACAGAGCGATCACCATCCCCGCCCCTCCTGCCCACATTTCCCACAACCAGAGGCAAAGTTCCCAATGGCTGAAAAAGATGACAGTTGAGGAGGCAGGGAAGTAGCTATCAGTATGACTGGGGAAGAGCCCCGCCTGACGTGTCCTCATGAGCAGCAGCCTCGGCCTGACTCCCAGCCTCCCTCCCCCGCCCCGCACCAGGCTGCACAGCCAGGGGGACCCATCAGGCTGGACCCTGAGCAGCAGAGGTACCTGACCAGAAGGGAGCGGAGGGGCCCTGAGGGGCAAAGCTGAGGCCCTGAGGACTGAGAAAAGAAAAGTTGTAGGAAGCGCAGGAAGCTGCAAAGAGGCAAGAAAGAGCATAAGAGGGAGGGCGGGACTCTGACGGCCAAGGAGCACAGGGGATGCCAGGCTCTCCCTCAGGAGGACACAGACGCACAGCATGAGCACAGCTAGGCCACTGCTTGCTCTGCACCTACGCCTGTGGGTCCCTGTAGACTGGAGACATGGGTTTCCAGGGGAAAGAGCTCTGAGCTCGAAGCCAAACGCTCTGGCCCTGTCTCCGTCCCAAGGTCCAGGTTGTTCCCCTGTCCTTGGCTTTGGAGTCCCTCCTTTACACAGACAGCTGGCTTGCACAGCCAAGGCCCCAGGGCACCCAGGGAGGGATCTGTTCTCAGATCCTACCCACTGCTCCTCACGGCTGTCAGCTCGAGGCACAGGCATCGAGAGCCAGAGAAGAAGTGCAGCCCCCATCTTCCACATGAAATGAGAAGGGGCACAGGTCAGCACCAGCGACAGATGGATTGGCCGGTCCGTGCTCACGGATGGGGGCAGCAACTCTTGACCCTGGTAGACACGGAGTGCCTTGGCCCTGGAAGCTGGATACCCCTGGGCACAGACATTACCTGGGGACCGGCTTGAGGCCCTGGTGGTGGCACGCTCCCGAGACTTGTAGGGGAACTTGAGCGTAGTGTCCAACTGCTTGAAGCTTTCCTTGAGAGAGTGGCACTGGTAGTACTCAACGAGCTCCTGCAGGGGGCGAACACACACTTACCAACTGCTGGAGAATCAGGAGCCCTCCCACCTCCTGGGTTCCTCAGAGAACCCCTCACTCCAGCCAAGCCCAGCTAGGAGAGCCAGTGCCTTAGAGACTTCTTCCTCAGCTTTAGAGCTCCCAAACATTTCTGAAAGAATGCTCTGGAAGGAATGCCCAGGTTGAAGGGCAAGCTGCTGACTGTAACGCCTTCCATGCTGGAGTGAGGGCTCACCTGCAGGGCAGAGCGCCAGGGAGAGAGGACTGGGCAATAATGAATGACGGCACACAGAGTAGTGCTCCATGGCTTTGTAAAAGAAGAGCCCCGTGAACCACGGCTGGCCTCGCCTGATGGGGAATGTTAGCTGTGGGCCGAGAACTGGATTTTAGGCACTTTCTGTTTGTATTTTCCCATGGGCCACAGACAGGAAAGGAAAGCTCCAATGTCCTGCCGTGGGGGGTGGGCAGAGTTTTTGACTAAAAGATATATGGGTCTAGGTATGGTGGCGCACATCTTTAATCCCAGCACTAAAGAGGCAGAGGCAGACTGGTCTTTGGAGAGTTCAAGGGCAGACCTGGTCTACAGAGTGAGTTCCAGACCAGCCAGGGCTACATGGTGAGCCCCTATCTCCAAAGACAATGAAACAAAAAAGAGTTGGGATTGAGACTGGGCCCGGTGGTAGGGTGACTGCATTAAGTGTGTGAGGCCCTGGGCTCCACATTAGCACCTAAAAGAGAAGTGGGAGCAGGAACAGACAGAAGCAGCCTCCTGTCACTTTAAGGGATGCCACGCCTCGCACTGCGTTATGGTGGGGCCCGACCAGGGAGGTGGAGAGAGTAGGGCTGAGGTTGCTTATCATGTCAGGTGAGCAGCCTCACTGGGCCTTGGTTTCTGCTCTATCATGTGACATAGGGAAGGCTTTGGAGTGTCCCAACACAGGTAAAACACTGCTTCAACTGTTCCCCAGACACCCTGTCAAGTTCCTTTCTGGCCCACACTAAAAAGAATCATTACCCCCTAGGCAAAGAGCATGGGCCATGAGGGGGCAGAATGGCTGTGGAGCAGACAGCCACCAGGCCTCGGTGGTCTGATGCAGCAGGCACACGTACCAGGAGGCTCTCAAACTTCTTGGCCTCAGTGATGTGGATCCAGTTGTCTTTCTCCACTACCTTGATATGCTTCACCTCGTCGTTGAACCTGGACAGACACACAGCCCAGCAGTTACCGAACAGCCCACACTGCCCAGGCTTATTCCAGATCCGTTTCAGCAAAGACTCTGACCCAAGGCTCTACACCACCACTGCAGTCACTCCAGGCCAGCCGTTCCTCCAGCACTCCATTTGGGCAGATCTCCCGGGACCTACCCCACCGCCCTCCCTGCCTGCTTGGAGTCCATACCCCAGAGTCCCCACTACAAACTCACTCCCCTCCTCTCCCTTTTCAGCACCCCCTCCAGCCTTCTGCTACACTGGGAGATTCGCCCTCCTCCCTGAAAGCAGCTAACTCTGCCCCATTCTCAACATCCACTAGGCTGCTCCAGATGCACAGAGCTCAAGTCCACCCGGTCTTAGAGCCAGTTGCCCCTGCCCTCTCCCATCACCATCTTCAGTTCAAGTGTACCCAACCTTGGGAGGCTCTCCTGAAATCCATCCCAACCCATGCCAGACACGGACAGAAAACTAGAGCCAGTATCCTGATAACTTCCAGCCAGTGAAGCAAGAGAATGTATCTCCCTATCTCATGTATGTCTGTGTATGAACCCCGAACACGTAACAAGGACTAGCTAAGGGATGGAGAGGCATCCTAGGAATGTAAGGTTGGTTCAATACCCTGAAATCAGCTAAAGCAAAAACTAATGAACAGTCAAGCCCTCCAGGTGGCCAGGCTCCACAGGGTCTTTGCAGGTACCTACCTGTGTCACCCTGGAGTTAACATGTGCTGTGAGCCAGATCAATAGGACCCCACTGTGGTGTCCTACAGGTCAGGCAGACACAAGACACTGGACACTCCTATGAGGTAGGTCTACCATGTTGTTAGGTGGGGCTGGCTTTAGGCTATGCGTTTCTTAATCCTGTGACACCTAGTAACGTGTGCCCGTGGCTGTCCTGTGCTGAGGAAAACAATCTGCCAGTTTTTTGTTGTGTTTTGTTTTAATCTAAGGAGAGATGCCCAGAACAACGGCCTGTGCCCCAGGCTGTCATGGCCACTGCCGGCGTTTTCCAGGGGTACCCAGATGGGAACATCCCTGACAGCACCTCCCAGTGTCCCACCAGCCCACCCTGAAAGTGTTCCTCAACCCACATGGCCATGGAGCAATGTCTTGTGTAGGCTGCAGCTTGCACCCAGCCCACACGAGGAGCCCTGACGGCTAGCATGTGTTCTCTGCCGCCATCTCATCCAAGACTTTCCAGCGTGAACACCCGAGAAGACCCACTCCACCCCGCTCAATAATGGGCTCTGAAGGGACACGCATGGGCCCAGGGCTGCCCCTCACTTGATGCTGATGGCGAAGCGCTCAGCCTCTGCTGGTCGCTCTCTGATGAGGTAGGTCCCACTGGGATGAGACTTGAGCAGATTGTCCGTCTGCTGCCGCTCCATGTTGCCAGCAAACCTGGGATCAGAAAACCAGAACATTTGCTGAAGGGTTGTGGCCTTGGCCTGTACATGCCGCCCGCCCCGGGCTTTGCTCCTTGCATGAACTTTAACCTTTGAGGTAAGGAGATATGTGACCCATGAGGGGTATGTGACCATGTCCTGGCCAGAGCACAATTGTGGGGGATAGCATCTTGGGTCAAGATGTCTCGGGGGAGAGAGAGAAGAGAGTGGCACAGCCAGGTGAGGGGACTGTTGGAATCACCAACTTTTACCACCTGGAGATGGCCAGCATCCATGCAGAATGAGACACTAGCGAAATCGGGCCTTTCCCGCCATCAAAAAAAGGCAGTGAGACTGGTGGCCTCAGCGAAGCAACCCCCACACTCCCCAGGGTGTGACACCGTGAGCCTAGTCTTCAGTAACATTGCACAATCAAGGTAGATCATCTGGGGTTGATAGAGGAGCCACTTCCTTTAGTAGTAGCCACTGGCAGGTTGTCCATACTCCAGTTAAAAAACAACAGAAAACATCCCCCCCCCCATGCTCCCACAAGCAAACCTAACTAAACTCAGTGGGTCACACACACAAAAGGCTTGAAAATGGGAGGGGGCCAGATGGGGAGAAGCTGGGAGCTGAAGATTAACAGAGGCAACATGACTAGAATTCATTACACACGTGTCTGAAAGAATAAAAACACAACTTATAGGCCAGCCATGGTGGCGCACGCCTTTAATCCCAGCACTCGGGAGGCAGAGGCAGGGGATCTCAGTGACTTAGAGGCCACTGGGTCTGTCTACAAAGAGTCCCAGGACAGCCAAAGATACACAGAGAAACCTTGTCTTGGAAAAACCAACCAACCAACCAACCGACCAAACAAACATAAAACCAAAAACTTAATTTAAAAACTAAAGCAAATGTGTGTGTGGTGGATAATCTTGCCTGTCAACTTCAATAACCATGGGAACAAATCTCTGGATGTTTCGGGGATTATCCAGATTAAGCTAACTGAGGCAGGCAGCCCCAGCCGCTACCACCCCACCCCACCAGGGGGAAGGGGGGGGGAGGAGGATGAGGTGCCATCCCATGGGCTGGGTTCTCAGACTGAATAAAAAGAAAAGCACGCCTTTAATCCTATCACTCGGAAGGCAGAGCAGGCGGATCTCTGTGAGTTCGAGGCCAGCCTGGTCTACAGAGTGAGTTTCAGGACAGCCTCCAAAACAATACAGAGAAACCCTGTCTCAAAAAGAAGCAAGCAGAGCCAGCATTTGTTCAACTCTGCTTCCTGATTATGGATGCAACAGCTGTCACATGCTCCCCCAATAATGTACTGCACTCCAGAACTGTGAACCCAAATAAACCTGTTCTTCCTTAAGTGGCTTTGTCGGCATTTTGTCACAGTAAAATGACAAGAAACAAATAAAGACTCCATCAAAGGAAAGCCCACGATCTATGATATCAGTCCTTTGTTACGTGCAGGTCAGTGTAGGGTGGCATGCAACCTCAGGCCTGGTGGGCTTCCTAGAGAGATGCAATGGGACAGACAACACTGAGGTGCTAGGCGGGGACAAGGACATGGGAAGCTGTGCAGACATATCACATGCGAGGCCTGGGGACATGGACTGAATGGGGAATGAGTCCCATCTCAGGTCAGAGGCATGTAAGCTGCCCATGTGGGGCTATGCAGCTTTGAGGGCTAGTTCTTCTAGGCACGGGACACTGCAGGAACAGAATCAACAGAACCACCCCAAGACTCACGTGACCTGCGGCCATGCCCAAAGCACCCACCTTTATCCCTCCATGTAACCCAGCTGTTCTTCTCACCAAAGGCATGCATGACTACAATTAGACCGTACACACACCCCTTCTGTCTATAGCTTATGTAATGAAGCTTATTGCCACAAATACTGGAGCCTACTGATCTGTTTTAGAGGTTGGGAAACAGCCCGAGTAGGGCTCAATTTCCCCCTGCCCCGGGCCAGCTCACAGGCTTATAGGGCCACAAAATGCCCAAGTCTGCAGCCCCCAATCCACTTACCAGGGGTATGCAGTGTAATCACTCTCTCGGCATGGCGGGCGGCCAACAGGTGGCTGGGGACAGAACACAGGTCTATTAATGTCCTCTGGGGCATGAGGTGGTGGGGAAGCTCCTGAGAAGCCCAATCCTGGGACCAATAGTCTATACTGGGCCAGAACCTCAGGTGGACTTGGCCCAGCACCCCTGAACTGTGAATCCCAGGGGCACTGCCAGGACTTCCCCGGAGTGGATGTTCAGAATGGCTGATGGAGAGAATGACTGGCTTTCCCAGAAGGCATGAATGAGTGAGTGAATGAATGAGTGAGTGAATGAATGAATGAGGAACCAGCAAACTTAATTCCAGGGAGGGAAAGGCTGAAGGCCACAGGAAGTCCCCAGCAGTGCGCATGAGGTGGCCACACTCAGGAGGTACCAGGACCCCCTCCCCTGTCCTCCTCTGCTATGGGTTCCCCAGGTCGATCCAAAGAACTTTTAAAACTTTTCTTCAGTTGGGCGTTGGTGGCACACGCCTTTAATCCCAGCACTCAGGAGGCAGAGGCAGGAGGATCTCTGTGAGTTCGAGGCCAGTCTGATCTACAGAGCGAGTCCAAGACAGCCTCCAAAACAATACAGAGAAACCCTGTCTCCAAAAACAAACAAACTAAAAAACAAAACTTCCTTCAAGCAGCAGATGAACCGGGTGGGTCTGGGGTGAACAGGGTGCCATTTGTCCCAGCACTTTCAGGGAGAAGTGTCTCTTTCACTTTTAGTTGTCCTAGGGGGAGGAGGGGTTCCGGTTATTCCAGGTCAACTCCTTGAAGCTTTTGACATTAGAGCCAAGAACAGCCTTGTTTGTTGTTCCAAACAAGACCCAGCTTTCAGGCCTTGTATCTGGGATGCTTCCTCTTCCCCAGCCTTAGTGGCCTAAGGGGATGTAAAAAGAGCCTCATCCACAGGGGAGGGCAGTGCTTCTACGTGAGTTTCAACTGGGTGGATGGCAGCTGTGGGGCTCCTATAAGAACGGACCCCACAGGCTCACAGACCTGAATACTTGCTGACCAGGGAGTGGAACTACTTGAGAAGGATCAGAAGGATAAGGGGGTGTGGCCTTGTTGGAGCTAGGTGTGTCAGGAGGGGTGGGACTAGAGGTTTCAAAAGCCCACACTCATAAGCCTCTGAAACCATCAGTTAACCCCCAAAGAGGTGCTGTTTTCCTAAGAGTTTCCTTGGCCATGGTGTCTCTTCACAGCGATAGACTAAGACGCCCACAGGTCACTCATCTCCAGCCCTCAAACCTTCAACAGGCAACAGCCCCCCGTCTGTCCTGGGATGAACTGTTCTGCACCACTGTGACCATCCAGCAAGGCCAACCTGATTCCCTGGCCCGAGCTCTCTGCATCTTGAACCCTGTGATCTTTCGAAGCATGAGGGAAAAGACTCACCCTTCCATCCACTGGGCACGGCTTCACGGAAGAGCTGGGAAAGTACCCTGACTTCCGGGTCTGAACCAGCCTCCCCTGGAGGAAGAAACAACCAGTAGGCATGAAGGACCCTAAGGTGCCTGCAGCTATACGAATCCCAGGCCCAACGTGAGCGTCACCTCCCTGCTGGGACCTCAGCCAGCCTCCCCACCACCTGGAGCAGAGAGGTAAGGACATTCCCACTTTACAGATAAGGGACAACAGCCAAGTGTTTCTGCAAGTTCACCTAAGAGACGGGTGACACCCAGGGAGGGGGTAGGGAGGATGAAGACCTTGCGTGATGCTTACGTATCAATTTGAACAACCTAGAATCATCTACAAAGAGCCTCAGTGAGGGACTGTCTACATCAGGCCGGCCTGCCTGTGTGGGGGATTGCTGGTTGCCTCAAGTGAGGTGAGAAGAGGCAGCCTGAGTCAGGTGGCGGTAACGCACACCTTCAATCCCAGTACTCGGGAGGCAGAGGCAGGGGGATCTCTGTGAGTTCAAGGCCAGCCTGGTCTACGGAGAGAGTTCCAGGGCTACACAGAGAAACCCCGTCTTGAAAGGGGTTACCACTCCCGGGGTTTGGGTCCTGGTCTGTATACGGAGTGGAGACTGTTGGGGAAGCCTTATGCCAATAAAGCACTGTCTGGGCAATAGGGAATCTAGATAGGAGGGGCTAGGAGTCCAGGAGGATTCTGGGAAGGAGAAACAGAGGAGAGTTCAAGATGTAACCGCCGTGCGGTAGGAAGCCCGGAACTATTCTCCGGTAAGAAACATACTTAGATTAACAATTATGGGGTAATTACTTAAGTCAGAGCTAGCCAGTAAGAAACAAGCAAGGCCAACAGCTTCAAAATTAATACAGCGTCTTGTGTGTTATTTGGGGACTACAATGCGGCTGAGCCCAGGCGACTGGCGGGTGATAAACCAAAGCGGCTAGCAAAGAAAAAGCTTCTCTTAACAGGAGACGGTGAGCTAAGCACCAAGCACGTGCTCCTTCTCTCTGCTCTTGACTGTGGGTGTGACATGACAGGCAGCTTCGAGCTCCTGCCTGACTTCCCTGCAGTGATGGACTGGAACCTGGAGCTGTGAGCCATATAACCTCTCTCTCTCTCCCCCCTGAGTTGCTTTCTGTCAGGGGGGTCCCATCACAGCAACAGAATGAAACCATGACACCTGGGATGCAGAGCATCCTTCAGGACCTTCCGGGTCTCGTGGTGTGTGACTGTCTAGTCTGGCTCAATAGTCTGGGCTCCGTTACTGATGATGCCCTTGAGGGAATAAGACACTACAAACATCACCAACCTTTACCCTAACTCTGTACTCCAAGCTGGCCATGGAATCTCAGGGCTCCTTAGGTGCCGGGCCAGCTCAACAGAGAGGGTGCTAAAGACGTAACACCCTCCAGCTCAGAACTGTAAACTAGTCCACAATAATCCCGAACGTTGTGAGGGACTGTTGTAGGAGTGAACTCCACAAAGCTATCCGCCCATGAGGGACACAGGTAGATATAAAAGGAAGTGAAAGGAAAAGGAACCTCCTTTTTTCTCTTGGAAGCCAGCCACGCTTCTGACTCCTAGCTAGTGCGACTCTCTCTGGTAAATAAATATATTGTTTTCCTTATAGCATTGAATATCCTCTTTAGACTGTCAACCAGAATGCATTGCGGACGGGGCACAGCACGGCTGGGACAGAACCTGGTGAGGGCCTGTGGCGTCTGCTGAGGCAGGAAGGCCAGGGCAAACAAGACTCTCTGTGGAAGTGTGCTGGACCCCTACTTGTGTAGCAAATGCCTCCAGGAAGATATAGCAGAATTCACGCGCAGGGCAGAAGTGGCAGGGGCCATGGTAAGCATCCCCTCTTCACTCACTCCACAGCATCACCCCCAAACCTCCCTGCTTTGGCCTTGGGGGAGGGTCAGGGAGAGGAGCAAGGGCGCACCCCTCCCACCAGGGCCCAGGACTCACCTCCCACCAAGGAGAATCGGGGTCACCCCGAAGCAGCTCTATCACATCCCCCGTCTGGAAGGTTAACACGGGCTTCCCGGGAGGGGCTGGGTTACCGTGGTAATTCTGCACAGCTACCATCTTGGGCCCTACGGATGACAAGGTAGAAGAGGGTGGCTCAGTGGTGACCTCATCCCTGCTGGCAGCTCAACCCATCCCGGACCCTTTTGGGCCTAGGGAACCCTCCAGTGAGACCACTCCCCCACGCAGAGGAGCCTGCATTATCCTCTCTGTATCCTTCACATGTGGCTCCTACATCTGCTTGATAACTATCCCAGGTGGATTGTCTACTCAAACAGAAGCGAGAACATTCGTAACAACTGCTTATTTTTAGACAGAGCTTTATGTCTCCTCCAGACACCACTGAAATGGGAACTGCAGTGTAAACCTGGGTGGGGCGGGGCCCCATGTTAGAGATGAGGTCCCACAGAGTTGGTCAGAGGCAGGCCTGAGGCTGCAATGGAGATCTGGGTTGAGCCCCCGAGCGTCTGAGGCTATCCTCAGATGGTATCCCATTGTGCCCCAGTCTCATACCAGATGTTCAAAGATGTCACAGAACTGTCTTGCCAGGCATGGTCCAGGTCACCATGGCCCAGCTGTGGTAGTATCTGGGTGGGGACTGAGTTTCCTCTGAGGAAGCTCAGACTTCATACAGAATGTGAGGCCTTTAGACCTGCCTTTTTCAACAGCCTGGGCAGCCCAAACCAGTGGGACAGAAACACGGCTGTGATGCCTGGGCTTCCTGCTCACTCAGATTTTGGGACAGCAGCTTAGCGCCTCCCTGAGCTGGGGAGTAAGGTCCTTGACTCTCTGCTGGCTGGTCCTTTCCCACCCCATCAGAACCTGAGTCAACCCGGGGAAGCAGCCAGAGAGGCCAGGGCAAAGAATGGCTATGCCAGCTGGGGGGTGGGGGATGACATATGCCTTTAATCCCAGCACCTAGGAGGCAGAGGCAGGCAGAGCTCTGTGGGTTCAAGGACATCCTGGTCTACAGAGCAAGTTCCAGGATAGCTGGGACTATACAGAGAAACCCTGTCTCAAAATAACAACAACAACAAAACAAACAAACAAACAAAAAAGGCTGTGCTAAGTAACCACCACCACGCCCAGGCCCAGCTTGTCGGCTGATACAGACTGCAGAGGTGGCTGAGTCCAGCACACTCACCTGGTCCAGCGCCAGGAGCATCCTGTAAGGACAAGGACGGATAGTTAGGGAAGATGCTCCACCTTTAGTTCCCACATCAGCGAGAAGGTGCTCCACCCCACATCAGCACCACCACCCCACAGGAGAGTCCAGGCAGGAAGCAGGAGAGCAGGGTCATGTCTTAACCACCAGTAGGTGTCTACAACACTACTTCCCTCTCCCAGTATTAAGTCATACCCCAACCCTACGTTCCCCAACCCCCTTATACACCCCTAACTCTCACCTCCCCCAGGAAGCCCCCCTGACCACCCTCCAGTGTCTTTCCTGGACACGCCTTGGGAAAATGTAACTAAGTGCTGTGTGATGGAGGCATCTCCGTGCCCTTGCAGGCCTGGTGAGCATCCATTCAAGGCTAGACAACAGGGCTGGACTCTACAGCTTGCCAGAGACATGTCATATGCCCTATAATGACTTTAGTGACCTGTCCCCATGGGTAGGTATGCTGTGTCACAGGGGTGCTGCTACAGCTGGGGATCTCTAGGGAGTGAGAGTAAGTGAGCTGCTAGGTCACGTCCCAGCTATCAGGCCACAGGTGGGGGTGTGTGTGGCACATAGACTCCTCTATGCTAGCACAGCCCCCAAGGAGTGGGAAGAGTTAGGAGCACTCACCGAGTCTGCAGAAGAACCTGTAAAGGAAGCAGATCAGGGGTCAAAGTGGAAGCCTCAGCGGAAAGGCAGCCTCCGTAGTGTATGCTCACACCGCAGAAGTGGCTGGCTGAGCTGCAAGGGAGGTCCACCACAGATGTGCACATAGACCAGGCTCACACCTATGAAAGCTACCCTGACTGCACGCTCTGAGTTCTAACTGCAGGGAGCCATGGGGAACTCAGACCGGAAGTCATACCTGAGATAGCCTAGGCATTTCTACCTGAGCCAACTCTGTCTGAATGGTGGCAACTGCCAGGGTCACCTGGGAGAGCCTGAGGTTCACAGGGCAATTTCCACAGCTGGCTAGTGATACCTGCCACAGGTATGTGATATACAGAGGCGGGTGTGCAAAGGTCCCTGTTGCCATCCTCCTATAAGACCCTCCAGCTGGACATTGGTCATTCAGTTGTCATATGGGAAGGAAGATATATCCCAGTTAGGCTGGGCTTCTGTCTCAGCATGGGTCAAAACAAGGGTCAATGACAGCTAGGATGTGTGGCTGGTGGGATCTCAATACCCCAACTATTGTGGCCACAGACTACTGCTCTGGAACATTCGACTCTTTTACAAACCTTCGGCACACAACAGTGGGTAGCAATGTCCCACAGGATGCAGCACAGCCTCTGCCCTGCCCAGAGAGAACTTCCCCTCTCAGGAGGGGCTGGCATCTCCCTAGGGGCATCTCGGCTCCTATAGGGGTTACACAGCCCGTCTGCTTTGGTGGTGCTATTGCCACAGTTCCCAGAGGAAAGCTGACTGTGTGAAGATGTGTTGCTGTGTTGATGTAATAAAAAGGAACAGCCAATAGTTAGGCAGGAGGTATGGGTGGGATTTCCAGGCAGAGGGAGAGAGATGGAAAGAAGAATCTAGGTAAAGAGTGGACACCATCGGGACGTGGAACGAGCTGAACATACAGAATGGGAGAGAGGTAAAAGCCACATGTTAGAATGCATGTCAAAAAAAATATGGCTTAAGAGCTAGTGGAACAAGCCTAAGCTAATGGCCACGCCTCCATAATAAGACTCTGCGTTGTTATTTCGGAGCTGGCTGGTGGGACAGAAAAGGACTCATTAAACTGGCCAAAGCCAGAGGAGCACTGACCAAAGCTGAGTCTCACAGCCGACCAGAGGGACAGTAGCTTGAAGAGCAGCAGCATCCCCTAGCAGAGGATGGAGGGAAGCATGGGTTATAGCCTCAGGGGAGTCACAAGCCCTGGGATAATGTCTGATGCTAGCCAGGGGTTGTAATATGACACAGGATACTGGTCTCTGGAAGGACCCCACTGATGTAACAGAACAAAAGCCCCAAGGGGACTCAGACCTGGAGCACCTGGGAATGCAAAAGGAAGGAAGTGCCCACGTGTCTGCTGGTGCCTGAAGGAACTATGAATAGGTTGGGGTTTTTTTTTTTCCGTTATTCTTCACACTTTGCTACATTAAAAACTTTTTCTAGCAACAACTATCTAATAACTAAGGTGGGGGAAAGGAACTCTAAAAAGGTTGTTTTCTAAAAAGGGAAAACAAAATATGACGAAACATTGCCTCCAGCTATTTCTATGTCTTTTGTGTGTTTATTTTTGAGAAAGGGTCTCATGTAGCCCAGGCCAATCTCAAATTGACTATAAAACCAAGGATGCCTCTGCCCTGACTCTCCTGCCTCCACCTCCTGAGGGCACCTTTCCAACAGAGCCGCACACATGGGCCCACACCTTTATCTAGAGAAGCACCGTTGGCCATGCTCCTTCTCTTCTCTTCTGTTGAGCTTTGGCTGGCCTCAAGTTCGTAGGGATCCACCCACCTGTCTCCTCAGTGTTGGGATTAAAGGTGTGTGCCACCACATCCGGCCCTATGGTCTTTTTAGTTCACGTCTTCCTTTTTTATTCTTCTCATTCTCAATTGTTTTCTATAATTACGTTTGTTAGCTTTTACACACACACACACACACACACACACACACACACACACACACACACACGAAGTAACTATGGCATTGCTGTGCATGAAGACTTAGGGCCACAAGAGGGCAACATTGACAAGTCAATGCCATTGTCCAGCCTCCATTTCTAGGGCTGATCGAGGTGGCACCTGCTAAAACAGAGACCAAGGTGACATGCTCAGTGACAAGGCAGTGACCCCAGGACCTGGTCAAGCACAAGAGGATTGGTTTCTACTGCAAGGAGGGCAGATGCAGGGCTGTCCCACTAGAATAGCAAGAGACGGTTCAGCCCTGGGACTCAGAGCAAGATGGCCTCCTCTTGCTCTGAGTGCGGCTTGATACAGCAGCCCTTCCCCAGCCAGTGGTAAGGATGGAGCTCCTATCTGAAGCACAGAGAATGCTTGGCACTCAGCAGGTGCTTCCCTGGGACATGCTGTCAACACCCTATACCTTCCCGTCAGAGGAAGTTTTGGGGTTGGCGGAGAACCCTTCTAGTACGACCGAGACCCAAGGCAGATTTTACTCCAGCATCAGAGTAAAACACAGCAACAAAAGCCTAAGCTCGTCTGTTCCCATCTGGACTCACTGCTCAGTAAGGCCCTGATACCTCTCAGAACTGTCACGGGCTTTTGGCGGCTGCCTAGACACTGTGAGATGGGTCAACCCTTTAAAAACTCCAACTGTTCTCCCAAATCAAGCACTTCAGAGGTCTTCTTGGGTCTAGTTTCTGCTCCTGATACCAGCAAGGCTTAACCTTCCCCCTGCCTAAGCCTTAGGCTGCGTCATCTGACAAATGATCATGAGAACAAGTACCCCCAAAGTACATGTGCCCTGCACACGAGACAGACACATGCCAGCACCTGTGTGCACATGTGCACATTCAGCCGCTCACTGACCAAGCTGTGATGGCCAGGAACCTCCCGGAGGAAGAACCAGGAGAGAGAACCAGTTATGATGGGGAATTTATGGTGGGAATCCCCACATTCCTGCTGAGAATGCCCTGTGCCTTTTGTGGATGTGGGTCAAAGGAACCACGAGCTTACTTCCGGAATGGGGCAGAGGTGCGGTAGGCGGAGGGGACAAAGTCACAAGAGCTTTGGAGGGGAACCGCTCCCGGCTATGGCTTTTAATACCCCATTCCCATTCGTCTTGGCCTCAGTTCCCCTCATCTGACCCCCTCCTGAGGCACAGAACTGTCACTGAGCAGGAGTCCACAGGATCGGGGGCACGGGTGGCGTGGCCCGCGCCCACACACTGGTGGGTACTCACTGATCTTGCAGGGGGGCATCACCTCCAGGCACTCCTTGTGTGCTCCGACACCACATCTGGTACACAGGTAGCCCTGGTAGAAGGTTCCCCTGTGGTGGGGAGGGCGGGGGTGAGATGGGAGTGCCGCTCCCTGCACGCTCAGCCACAGTCATTGCCCTGGTGGAAACCTATCATTCACCTGGTGATCTGTCCTAGAGCCCCACCAAGCGCCTGCTCTCCCCTGACCACCCCAGCCTGGCCCCTCACTCCACGGTCCCCAGCAGCAGGGGCAAACCCCCCAATGGCCTTGGCTGCTGGCCCTATTGATTATGCCCCTGGTTCTTCCAGGCATCCTATGGGGCTAAGGAGGGAAGGTCAGGTGCCGCGGTGTCACGGGGCAGCTGAGCAGACTGTCCTGGAGCCTGACCTACCTGAGGAACATCTTGCAGGCTTTGCAGTTGGTGGTCTTGTCAAACGTGTACATCTGGAAGCTATGATGGTTGGCATTGGCCTTGTCTGGCTTGATGTTTGACCTGGGTGGAAAGAGAAGTAGGCACTCAATGGCCGGGCTCCCTGAGCCATGAACACAGGGACAGCTACATAAGGACACTGGCTGCACACACCAGGACCCTGCACTCCAGCCTGGGTCTCCCCACACATGGCAGGGAGAAGAGTAGTAGTGTATGGATTGGCGGGGGTGGGGGTGGGGGTAGATCTTAACTGCACCGTGCTATCCCAAGAGTGGCTGCAGGGTGAGGCAGAAGGTTATTAAAAATGGCCCAGGAGTGTCAAACTTAGTGTGCCTATGCATTTGTTTTTCCTTGTCCATTGTTTTTACCCACAATCCAATGCGGACTAAAAATATTACATGGAAAACTCTAGAATTGGGCAACTCATAGGTTTTTGCTCCTGCTGTGAGTAACATGATGGAATCTCTAACCCAGGACATGGGTTATCCTCTGCCAATGTATCTGTGCTGTGGGAACTACCCACTTGCTAGCAGTGGTCACTTAGTGACATCTGATATCAAACACAAGCACACAGTATGGTGTCCTGAATTTTACTGGAACCTGTGCAAGTGTAGTCAATCCATCGTATAATTGTCTAATTACTAGCTCTTAGTTCCTTCCTAATCATACTGATTTACACACTGCACCCTACCACAGGTCTGCACACATATGGTTTGATGCTACTATGGTTTCAGGTACTTGGTGGTGGCCCTGGACTGTGCCCCATGGATGGCAGAGTAATTACATTAAGGTTTACACTTCACAGCGTAAGTGCTTATAAGCTCTGCAGATGTGGAATTACTAGCTCACGATCCACCCTGAGGCCACATTCACGTCGTCTTCTCCACCACTAGGTTTGAGAGGGCAGGACAGACAAACACAAGCAAGGAAGGGGAGACGTACACCAGGAGGGTGCTCACAGGTGTTCTTCAACTTCTGTGAATACTTGAAACGGCTTCAATCCCCCCCCTGCACAATGCTGGGAAGAGAAGTCCAACCCACAGAAACCAAGGGGCAGAGAGCCCCGGGGCACTCTCAGTCTGGACATAAGTCAGCGGGCAGCATCACCCAGTGCACCAGCCTGATAAGCTGCCCTGACCTTACTCCTGTAGCTGAATCTCACCACGTGGGAAGCCTCAGGGAGCGGTATACTCCCCAGAAGCCCCCAAGTCTGGTTGCCACAGGGCCAAGGCACACTCCACACCCATCCTCTCTGCCCTCCATCTGCTCTGTGTTGGGGTGCCCCTTCAACCTCATGGGACACCGTTCTGAGACTTTCAAACAAAGTCAAATCTCCAGTGGGCCCTGAGCACCAGATCCAGGGGTCACCCTTCACCAGTTATGACCCAGCTGTCATACGCAATTTCAGCCTCAATGGTGGTGAGACCCATCTAGCAGGAAGCTGATGCCACCAGAGACATCTGGGAGACAGAGCTAGACCTGCTGGTGTCCCATGGGGAAGGAGCTTGTCACACACCGAGCATCAGAGCCATTTCCCGCTATTGCTTGCCTGAGGTCAGCAGACCAGAGCCAACACGCCCGAGGCTCCTGCCCAAAACTCACATGGCCATCTCGAACTGCTCCATCCACTTCCGCTTCATGTCTTCCGTCTTGCAGAAGAACTGGAAGCCTTGCTTTCCTTGGAGGTGAATCAGGTAGAAGCCATAGGACCACTGTGGGGACAGAGGCATGCTGGCAGCTGGCATGGCTTTGGACACTATCAGGTATATCTCTTACTAGTACTGTATATGTATGTGTGTGTGCGCCTGTGTTTGTGTGTAACATGCTCTTGTGTATATACATACACACCCTTGCCTGGCTGCATGTGCCCTCCCACATGTGAGAATGTGGGTGCACTGTGCTCGTTCCTGAGTGGGCCAGGGTATGCTCATGTGTCAAGGTGCATAGGCACCTGTACCTATATACATGTGACTGGCCTTATGATCTACTACACATGTGCTTTCTCATGTAAACATGTGTGCATGTACTAAGCCTGTGTGCATATTTACTTGTTTCTGTTCCTGGGTATAGGTATACCTAAGCTTGTGTATGCCTGTCCATAGCTCCTTTCACATGTGTGTATATCATGTGTGCATGTGTTGTGACCTGTAGATTATGTTCTACACATGGACACATCTGCACAGGTGTGTAGGGAGTGCTGTGTGCACACGTATGCATGCATGTATGGGTGCAGAGATCCTGTCTGTGCTCGTATGCATGTATGTGGGGGTCCCTGCTATGTGTACAAATGTATATGGGGCCCTGCTGTGTGCGTGCGTGTGCATGTGTGTGTGCGTGCATGCGTGCGGGGGGCTGCTGTATATACATGTATGTATATGGGCCCTATTGTGCCCATGCATGTGTATGTATGGGGGACTCTACATGCACTTGCATGTGTGTATGTCTACATGTGTATGTAGGGGGCCTGCTATGTATGTATGTCTACATGTGTGGGTGTGGCAGTCCATGCTCAGGGCCCACCCTCTGACAGGATATCCCACCCTTTTTCCTCTCCTTCATGGGACACTTCAACCCAAATCCCTGCTGTCCCAAGGATTCCCCAGGAGCGGTGCCCAGGCCCTTCCATAGCCCCGCCCACTCACTTTCACTTCCTGGGTATAAAACAATAGGGGGGGGGGGGATGCTGGGGTCAGATGACTAAGGGTCTGACCAAACCAAGCAACCCAGCAGCTGGCCCCACCCGCTGACCTGGTCAATACTCCAGGCTTGAGAAAAGGGCTTCCAAAGAGGCCCAGGTAAAGTATAGCCTACTCTGTTAGAAGTGGGGGAATGGAGGGAGCAGAGAAGGGAGAAACGCAGGGAAGGGGAAGGAGAGAAACGAGGAGGATGGTGCAGGGCAGAGATCATGAAACCTGGCCTGCCCGTGCTCAGTGACCCCTGACCTTCACCTCCCAGGAAGGAGAGCAGGTGGGCTTCCAGGTCACACCTTCTACAAATCTTTCACCACAAATGTGTGTCACTTTCATGATTAAAATGTAGAAGAAGGAGGGAGAGGGGAGGGCCATGAGCCTGGCCTACTCAGGCTCAGGGAGTCCCAGATCCACAAGTTTGGAAGGGCCAGCATCGGGCAGCACTGGGGGGGGGGGGGGGACCAGGGGCTTACCATCTTCCCATGAGACTAGGAAGCATGAAGAGGAAAGGAAAAGAGGAGACAGGTCATTAAGAGGCTTGGCTGGCCCTGGATGCGTTGCAGCCTGGGGAGGCTGATAGCCTAGATGGCAAGACCCAACCTCTGTCAAGCATTCTAAGCTGTTCTCCCCAAGCTTGGAGAGTGGCCCTGGTCACTGCCTCTTGCTTCAGAGGCCAGGGCTAGGAGGAGCCTGTGCATGGTGGCCCTGAACCCTGTATGGGGACTTTTAGCAGATGGACTCCCATCCCCAACCCAGCGGGGCTACGCACAGAAGGTGCTGTGTTCAGAAGCCTCAGAGAAGCAAGACTGAAGCAAGATACTCTGCTGCCATCCCATCCCCTCCCGGCCACAGCCACAACCACAATGCCCACGGCCCATCCCCTTGTGCCCACAGCGCCCCCTCCTGCAGTCCTAGTCCACTGGATTTCAGAGCCTGACAAACCACCGGCCCCCAGCAAACAAGGCAGAGTAGGAAAATCCTGCTTGTTGCCAAACACAATGAGGTCCACTAAGGCTAAAAATCAAGGTTGATAGCTAGGCTCTTACTGTTGCCCTAAGTAAGGCCTCTCCCTCTGCTTCTGGGGAGTCCTAAGGGTGCCCACTACCCACCACGGGGACCATCTGCCACAGTCACAATGATGGAGGACAGAGCCTTGCTGCAAGGCTACCTCCACTGACACTGGATGTGCTCTCCCGGAGTTAGGACGCCCCGCCTGCCCCTCTCCAGATCTGGACCCACCTTCTTGATGTCCTTGTTGTGCATGGGGTCATCAGTCATCTTGTGGAAGAGCAGCTCAATGACCTCCTTCAGCTCGTAACTGTAGCCCTTCCTCTTACACACGATGGCCACCTTGTCAAACAGGAACAGGTACCTGGCCAGAGGGCACATCGGGGGTCAGGGCAGCCGCGCTCTGTGAAGACCCCAGCCAGCTGTCCCCAAGGCCAAGGCCTGCACATGCTGCCCACTATCCAAGGTGAGGCCCCCTCTGCTGCCAGATCAAGCAGGCAGAGGCTTTGTCAGGACCCTGCTATTCCCATGAAGCCTTCCTCGGTGCCGACTCCGTGCAGAAGGCCCTCAGCCCTCTACCTTGACCTCCCTTGGAGCACTGTTCAAAGGCCATGGCCAATTCTCTCTTCTGTGTTCCCAGAACCCAAGTCTGCTGCGACCCCAGCCCTCACAGATGCCCGACTTGTTCCAACTCCGCCACCACCTGCCACCTACTCCCAAGAGGACGCTAGGCGGGGGGCTCCCACGGCCTCTCAGCCAGCTCCCTGAAGACTGAGCGGGAGGCCAGACCTCTCCACCTCCCACCTCTCTCTGAGTGTCTCCCAGCCCTGCTCAGTGCCTCTGTGTGACCTCTGCTGACTGGCATGACAGGCACACAGAGGTCTGCGTGAGAACACTGAGTCATTACAACAGAGCTGCATAAAGCCTGGTGTGCTGCTGCCCTCCCTCAGGAAGGTCTGTTTCAGGCCACCTGGGAGTGGGGTCCCTGAGCTGGAGGGTCAGCCCGGGATGGGGGTGCCACCTCTCAGCCTGCTCACCTGTCTTGCTTGGTGTGGTTGACTATGGAGCGGACTTTCAGTTCCCCATCAATCTTCGGCCTCCCAAATTCCTCCAGCTTCACTTGCTGGGAAAGGCAATGACCGTTAACCCGAGAGCAGGCGACCTCTGCTTTACTAGACAGGGAGACAAGCGGGCATGCCCAGGGCAGGATGGCAAGACCCAGGAAAATGTGCCAACGGTGACTGGGTGGTGCTCAGGATGAGGTAGCCCAAGGCCATTATGGACCTGAGCCAAGCCTGTCCCCTCCTAGGGGGACGCAACTGGGACTTCTTGAGCCCTGGGAACAAAGGGCAATTGATGGCCTCATCATGCTCACAGGCAGCTGTTGTGTGGAAACCAGAGCTGGAGGAAAGGCCAGAAGCCCAGCCTGAGAAGAGCCAATAAAGAAAGCAAGTGGCACTACTGGACTCTGAGTGGCAGCCACAGGCCGGGTTCCAGCCATGGGTTCATCCTCCACGGGAAGCAACCCTGTGCCCAGCCCTGCCGCCACCTGGCTGTGAGGACTCCACTACCAGTTCTGCCTGGATTGTGCCTCTCTGTTCTGTTTAACCTGCCCCTCCACCATCCTCTGCATAGCTTTCAAAAGGCAAGTCTATTCAGGCAGTCTAAAGGCAGAGGGAGCAAGTTCCTGGGGCGGGGTGGGGCGGGGCAAGGGGAGGACAATGACAACGACGGACGGACCTAGGCCTGAGGATGGCCAAGTGAATTCGACTCCCAAGTTCCCTGTATTTTGTGAAAGCTCCTAGGGCTGGTTTCAGTGTGACACAGGCAGGCCTAGGCATGATAAAGAATGGGGCTCACATCTGCTCGGGGACTCTGCCATGTCCCTTTGTCCCCATCAATCAGGACATGTAACTCCAGGTGCCTTTACCTGGAGAGGGCATAAGGCCGCACGCCAGGTGGCAGACTCACTGCCGGGGAAAATCAACATCTAAGGACCACTGTTCTCTTTGAGACAGGGCCTGTTGTGTCCCAGAGCGGCCTGGAAGTCACTGTGTAGTCGAGGACAACTCTGACCCTTCTGCCCCCAAAACCCCATCCCAGCCTCCTCGCCCTATACTGGATTACAGTTAGTGTCCCCAAGCCCAGATTATTCGGGGCCCCATACAGGAGCGGCAAGCACTCCGCTAACTAAACCATACCCACAATGCTTTCCTTATCGTTTAAAGAGCAAGCCCGACTCGTGACACCACATCAAGCCCCCCTGTGTGCAAGGGAGGCTTGTCACTGTGTGGTGATTAGAAATCAAGGGCGAGAGCGAAGGCGCCTGGTCCCCACTCATGCTCGCGCTTCCCGTCACACCCAGGCTTAGCGGCCCACAAGGACGTGGGGTGGAATCGGAACACTGCTTGGCGACTTCTTTCATTCTCTGGCTGACTGACGGCACGGCCTGGGGATGCCTCCTGATGAACCAGGTCTGCAGAGGGCTCCTCCGTGCATGAAGATGGGCATGCCAGCCAAGATACCAGGCTTCCGGCTCCCCAAGCTCACGAGAGTGAAAAGTCACCAGGAAGAGGGAATGCTTGTGACAAAAACGGGTGGTTCTGTGTCGAGGTGACTCTGGACATTGGGCAGCATTTGGAGATGCAGCCAATCACTTGGGGTCAAGGGTGCTATTAGCATCTCATGGGTGACGGCAAGAGCGTGCTTAGTTTCTCCTAATGCAGAAGAAGACCACAACACAGAGAGATCTAGACCCAACTTGGGCCAGGCAGGTTTGAGGTCAGAAGCAGCTCATCTCTTCTCCTCAGTCAACCTCTGGGTTTATGTTTTGTTTTGTTGTTGTTGTTTTTGGTTTTTTTGTTTGTTTGTTTTTTGCCTTTTAAGTTTCTCAAGACAGGATTTCTCTTAGTACAGCCTTGGCTAACCCGGAACTCACTCTGTAGACAGGCCTGCCTCTGCCTCCCAAGTGCTGGGATTAAAGGTGTGCGTCACCACTGCCCAGTCCCCAGTCAAGCTCTGAAGGAGGGGATTAGAGAGTGTCAGCCCTGCTTGTTAAGAGTTCCCAGAGAAGGAGAGAATTGAAGGTCAGCTCTCGGACTGAGATGACTGCTGCCCTGCCCCCAAACCAAAGTCTGTCTACTGCCCATCCTGAGGACAGGGAGAAAGGAGGGTCCCAGACCAGACAGAGCCTCCTGCCTCGGGTGGCCGCAGCCTGCAGCAAAGATGTAAAGGGAACTGTGTCCTCCATCTCCTGAGCCCTGCTCAGGGTTCTCTACCTCAGGGTGTAAGGCACTCACTCAGGTAGGCTGACGTGGGTGAAGGCTTGTACTACCCACCCCACCTCTGGAGGCTGGGCGTGCCACCTCCCACCCTCCTCCTCCTCCCTGTCAGGCTTCAGGGGCAGCCGCTGTGGTGCGCACAGGCGGAGGGGCACCTGCTCACCAGGTTTTCTATGGAGCACTGGAACTCGCTGATCTTCTTCAGGGTCTCTTTGTCCCGCTTCACTTCGTTGATGTACATGGCCAAGTCCTGGAGGTCGAGATAGGAGCAGTGAACTAAGTCACATGGTGTGTGTGTGTGTGTGTGTGTGTGTGTGTGTGTGTGTGTGTGTGTGTGAACTCCAAGCCCCTGCGCCCAGCCCAGCTTCCTCCATCTTGCCTGAGCCGCTGAAACTCCAGGCCATAGGAATAAGAAACACCACACACAGGTAACAAGGGAGGAAACTAAAGCTGAGAATACAGTGTTTGGGCCCAGACTACCCACTGCACTGGTGAGGGTGCTGGGAACCCCCCAAATCCAGGCTCCTGACTTCCCTCATTGAACAGTCAGAATGGAGAAGCATCAGGCTCCTGACTTCCCTCATTCAACAGGCCTTCTAAGTCAGAGTGGAGAAGCATCCCAGCATGGTGAGCCACAGCAGTCCACACACAGCCATTGTCCAGACCTACACATCTTTCTGCTCTCATGAAGGCCCAGCCCCACCTCTCTTGAAGAGCCCCTGGGTACTCTAAGTGTATAGGGAGAACAGGGGTCCCTATATGATGCTGCAATCCTCCACTTTGTCACCAGGGGGCAGTGCTCACTTTGCTTCAGAAAGTTTGCACCGGGCTGGAAACTGTGTACATTGGTGGCTGGGACAGTGCAGCAAGGATCCTGCCCAGGAAAGGAAAGCGGAGAGGAAATCCCCAAAACATCCTGGAGCAATATCCTACCTCCCTCATGGCCTCTCTTGCTTCTGGGGGTCACTTCAAGGGCCATACCCCAAGCCTTGCACCCAACAGGGCTGAAGCTCCCTAATAGATACCACACTGTTATGCATTTTTGTAGAGCATGGTTTTTGTCCTAAACCAACAGCAGGGACAGAATCTGAGCAAGAGCGGCCCTGTGCACACCTGACTGGAAGTGCATGTCAGGGATGGGGATTCCCACAGAGACAGATATTAGCACCCCAGGGGCAGAGCAGCCTAGCAGTGGACACAGCCTGGCAAGGAGGGTGTGCAACCCTGTGGGGGACCCAGCTCTGGGGCACTGGCAGCTCAGACACTGGCTGAAGGAAGGATTTTATGCTTTATGTTGGGGACATTAAAGGCTTTTTAGGTTCCCTTCTGTGTTGGTTTTTGCAGAGGACTAAGAATCGCCTCATGACACCGTCTTGTGGTCCTGTCTGTAAGAGGACGTCTTGATTGGGGGCTGAAGGGAGAGGGCACAGCCCACTGGGGGCAGGCCACCCCCAAGCAGGCGGGCTACAGCTAAGCAAGCCTGAGTGAGTCAAAAAGCAGCCTTCCTCCCGTGGTTTCTGCTCCAGGTTCCTGCCCTGACTCCCCTTCACGATGGCCTGTGCCCTGGAAGTGCAATCTAAAATAAACCCTTTTCTCCCCCAAAGTTGCTTTTGATTGTGGTGCTTTATCACAGCGACAGAAAACCAGGGCACCTTCCAAACCTTTAAGTTCTAAGACCTGACTCCGGGTGACATGGAGCACACAGACAGAGGTCACACACTCTCTGCAATGTCCGCAGCTATACTCAGCGTACTTTCCCACAAAGAGACCAGAAGCCACCAGCTGGCTGGCAACTGAATGATGGAGGGTGGGGAATGTGTGGCCAGGCTGGGGCTCAGGGTGCACCTGCAGCCATGATCACATGTCCCAGGAACAGGTCACTGACACCCAATTGTGTCTACAGTGGGAGACATGGTCCTCTGCTGCAGCGGCAGGTGACCTCAGTTCCCCGGGGGGAGGCAGCAAAAGATCCCTGTGTCAGCCACGGCACCCATGCTCAAGTACGCCCAAAACAGATACCAACTTCCGCAGCTGCATGAGGCCTGCTCTCAGAGCTCCAGGCAGCTTTGAGATACAGCGTCCTCCCGCTGAGCCTGGCAGCTGTGTGGGAGACAGGCTGCAGCTTCTCCCTCTTCAAATGAGGTGTCCTGGGAAAGGAAGAGGCCCAGGGCCCCGAAGACTCTTCAGAGGCAGGTGCCAGATGTCACGGTTGCAACTAACGGGCTTCTACCACACTGCGGATGCCAGAGGGACTTAGCCTGTGTGGGGCACTGCACCTGGTCTAGGACACAGGTGGCCACGAGAGGCACGGGTATGACTGGGGTAGCCTGACAGTCCCTGGGCTAAGGTGACTTTCTTGGGCAGTGCCAAGTTCATGGCAAGGATAGATGAGCAGGATACCGGTGGATTAAGGAGGAAGAGGACACGGCCTGAGAAGACGCCTTGGGGTAGGAAAGACTAGAGCACGCTTGGGAACCCGAGGGTGGCCAGGCTTGCCTGGAATCTGGGGTTTTCCTGCACACGCAGTTTCAATGACCCTGTGAGAGTCCTAAGAACAGGGGGAAGGGCCAGGCCTGATTCAGAAAGCAGCAGGAGCCACAAAGGCTTTCTGAGCAGGACAGTGATGAGCGCTGAGCTTCAGAGGGCAATGGTGTGTCCTAACAAGGCAGACAATGGGGTAGTAGGGACCCCTGGAGCCAGTATGTGAAAAGGAGCCTTCAAGCAAGTGACAGAGAGACCGGGCCTGGGACAAAGCTTGAGCAGCAGAAGCCCCAGAGTTAACTCCAGGATAGAGCCGGCACCTGAAAACGACTGCTGGTCCCAGTGGACACGGGAATACAGGAGTTGGGGGACAGAGCAAGTGAAGCTGGGAACTTGGAACACATGGAAAAAGCACCTAGCCTGTAGCTTCCTCCACTATCATGTGAGTCTAACCCCACCCCAAGTGTCCTGCCTGTGTTACCCTGGGCAAATGTTCCCCATTGCCAAGCTCAGTTTGGATCCAGGAAAACGGACACACCGGTCTCGGTACTTCCCGGCTCGATTTACCTACCTGCATGGCCTCCAGTGCTTCTTTTAGCTGCTGTCTTTCTGGCCGGTCAGCAGAATGACTCAGGAGTTCCTATGGGAGCGACAGGAGACCCAAGGTCAGCCCTCAGGGTACCAGCCCTGCCCCCGTCCAGTACAAAGTGTGCACACAGCAAGACCCTCAGGACAAAACCACCCACGAGCACAGGTGCAGGTCCATCTGCTCAACTCCAACAGACACGGCACCCCTTACCCAGTGGACACCTCTGCCAGGAAGCTCAGAGGCTCAAGCAATCAACCCAGTGACTCTCTGTTCCTGGTCTGGGGGTGCCCTCTGTCTCTTCCCTCTTTCCTGACCTTCTTTCTTGTCTCAGTCATAATTTTCCTTCTGACTGCCATGACACCCTTTCATGGTGTGCACTGAGCACAGAGTCATTCATCAGCCTTTGATCCACCCTGTCTGTGGTCCAAAGCCCATGCCATGCCAGAGCACACTCAGAAAACAGATGGTGGCCTCACCTTGAGCAGCAGGTGGTACTTCAGCACCCGCTGCATGGGTACCACGAGCAGGTCTTGCAGCTTGAACTTGCCATCCTGGACCTTAAGCGTGCACTCCTGGTATGGGAGAGAGCAGTGGCCGGATGAGGGGGTGCCCTCCCTGGGAGAACCCATCTCCAATGCCAGCCACACAGAGAAAGAGACCTCAGCCCTGGACTCTCAGACTTCTAGAATACGCATGAGGTGGGTGTCACAGTATGTGAGCAGGACATACTACCCCTTACATCCTGGGTCACGATGGGACCCTGGTATCTGAGGGACCCCTTTGCCCAGCCTTGCAGATGGATGTGCCATCTGCTCCCTGAGAAGTCAGATGGGGAGGGGGCTCACACAAAGCTGTAAGGTCACCCAGGGTCCCCTGGGGTGCCTGGACAGGAGGAACAAGCATCACATGCCACCAGCACTGAAGCTGGAGCTCTGAAGACAGAGCTTTCCTGACCACATAGGATAGGGACACTCCTGGACCGAGGGGGGGAGGAAAGGCCAGGAAGACACTCAAGCTGAAGCAGGGGAGGAAGGCAAAGGAGGGTGGCCCAATGTATCAAGCAAGTCACCTAGATCTCAACAAGGACCCTGGGATCAACAGAGGCTAAGGTCAAGTATCACTCATTAAGATGGACTTGTCTAGGCCTCCACAGCCTGTAAGGCTCGGGCTGTGTTCTAGCTTGGGACATGTGTTCTGGAAGTCACCAACAAAACAAGGGGGGTGGGGTGCCTAAAACCAAAGATGCGTATTGAGGGAAGGTGGTTGAGCCTGAGCAGTCAGCTGTGCCAGGCCAGGATACCGGGATGCCCTGTTACCTCCACTTTTTGCCTGAAGTCCTCCCGGCTGGCGAGGAGCTGGTTCAGTGTACTCTGGGCATGCTCCATGTGGCTGCAGTACTCTCCGTAAATCAGCAGCCTGAGGAGGGGACAGCAACATGTACATGGTGGGTGCAGATCAGGTAAGACTTTGCAGCTATGCTGTGAGCCTGTACGGTGGACAGGCGTGTGAACACACACGCACCCACGCATGTCTAAGATACTTGCAGCAGCAATGCCCTGACTCCTTCTCAGGCAGGCTGGAGAGCCTCAGGGTCACTGCCCCCACACGGCTCCGCCCCCCCAGAGCCCTGCGACTTTCTCCTCATCCTCCACGTGACAGGTTAGAAGGGCTCCTAAAGCATTAGCACAGAAGGGGAAGCCACCTCCTGCAGGCCTACTTCAAGTCACGACCCATGGTTCTGCCTCTGTTCTGGAGAGGAACGCCTAGAATAGAGAAGTCCCTGCCTCCTGGGACTCTCTGCTGGCCTCCAAGCCTAGCATGGGGGCCATTCATTACTGAAGCTCATCCTAGAGCCATGCAAAATGGGGGTGGCCCCTGGTGCTTCTGCAGGGGTGTGAGCAGCTGCACCCAGAAGATATGTCCAGTCAGAAGCAACAGGGCTCCGGCAGCCCTAGCCAGCCCTATTTGCCTTCTGCTTTCCTCCCCCCCGACCCCCTTTCTATGGTCCATCATGCCACCATCCCTCCTTCTCATTCAGATTATCTTTTTGGTGCCACACAGTGTTCCCTTCTTTGTCCCCACCTGGGTCCACGTGCTACAGACATCTCTATGGATCAGAAGCCCTGAACTTTCAAGAAAAGGGGGAAGCTACCCCACAACTTCCTCCCTAGGTTCTTGTGCCCTGACCACATAGGAGATGGTAAGAGAAGACTCTGCCAGGTGACATTACCAAGGACAAGCATGATGGCAGACAAGCCTCACTAGACCACCACTTTCTCAAGGACAGTGTTACAGGTCCTTCTTCAAGCAGCCACCCAAGGTTACTGAAGCCCCAGTGAATTGCCTGCCACAGCAGCTGATGCCAGCCTGGCAGTCATACGAGGAGCTCATTGGGAGGCTGGCCTTATCCTTGGTGGTCCAGCCCCACCTTACCCCAACCCAACATATGTCAGGAAGTACCCCTGGATCCTCCCCAGTGGACTGGTTCTAATGACCGTGCAATAGTCCACTGAGACTCTTATTCCTCTTAGGCAACAGACCTAGGACGGGCAGCTGGCTAGACCTCCTGCAGGAGCCACTCAGGAAGAAACACCAGCAGCATGGGCAACCCTGGGCAAGTGTCTCTAGGCTGTCGTGTTTGAAAACTTGGTCCCCAGTTGGTGGACCTGTTTGGGAAGGATTAGGTAAGTGTGGCCTTAAATGGAGAAAGTGTGTCTTGGGGGGTGGGCTTTGTTTCCTGGTGTTCTCTCTGTCTCCTGCTAGAGGATTTGGATGTGAGCTCATAGCTGTTCTGCCCGCCAAGTCTTTGCTCCATCGTTGTAGTGATCTGAATAAGAATGGGCCCCATAGGCTCATATATTTGAAGGCTTAGTCATCGGGAAGAGGCACTACTTGAGAAGGATTAGGAGGTGTGGTCTTGTTGGAGGAAGTGTGTCACTGGGGATGGGCTTTGAGGTTTCAAAAGCCCAAGCCAGGCCCAGTGGCTCTTCCTGTTGCCTGTGGATCCAAATACAGAACTCTCTCGGCTACTTCTCCAGCACCATGTCTGCATGCATGCCATCATACTCCCTGCCATGATGATAATGGACTAAACCTCTGAAACTGTAAGTGAGCCCCAAATACATATTTTATTTTATAAGAGTTGTCTTGGTCACAGTGTCTCTCACAGCAATAGAACCAAGGCATCATGAACTTTAACCCTCTGGGAACAGTAAGTCCAATTAAACACTTTCTTCTGTATGTAAGTTGCGTTGGCAGTGATGTCTTATCACAGCAGTAGAAAAGTAACTAATACACATGGGCTTTGGGGCCAGATGACACTCAGCCCCTTCCCAAACTCAAGTCTGGATGCAGAGGTGAAGGCAGCAGGCAGGAGCCCTGGTACCAGAGCATTGATAGCTTGACAAGTACAACCCTGGCAGGGCTCCTTGTTCCACCCAAAGGACCCCAAAGGGTCTCCGGCCCTACCTATCCCAACAGATGCATGCCTGCAATTCCAGCAGAAGCAGGAAAAGAGTTACGGACTGACTTAACGAGGGAATGGATGTAGCTCAGAGGTTGAGAGCTTACTTAGCACATGTGTGTGTGTGTGGGGGGTGAGTCTCATCCTGGGAGTTCACAGACACTGTGTAGCACAACCCTGTGCTGTCTTCCCTAGGGGCTCCACCTGCCCCATTGCTTGTGCTCACTTCAGGAATCACCACACCCTATTACTTCCCATACTTGAAGTCTTAGGTACAGCAATCAGGGACTTTCCTGCAGGCCTTCCCCTAACTTTTGTCCATGCACACAGCTTCTAAGCAGACCCTAGAGACACAGTTTAACTGTTTCTCAAAACTGAACAAATGGCTCATTCTGAAAGTGCTGGAGGAAGTTGGCTATGGAAGTAACAGTTAGCAGGCCTTTCTCTTAACCATCAACACTTAATACTATTATGAAAAATATTGGCCCTGGAGAGATGACTCAGAGGTTAAGAATACTTCCAGCTTTTTGCAGAGGGCCTATGTTAGTATTCAGGCATCTCTACTGGCCTGTCCTTGGGGTTCTGACAGGATATGTCCTCAGCTGCAGCCACTAAGAGCACCTCCTGGGCATGTTCACTATGCTCCCTTTTAAAAGGGCCCCGCCCACCTCCCATCCTTCTCTCTGTGTCTCTCCTCTGGAGGTCGATCTCCCCTCTTCCTTTTCTCCCTTTTATGATCCCTTTTCCTAATTTAAAAAAAAACCCTCTGTGTGAACCCTGTCACAAGGGTGTGCACTGCTTTTCTTAAATTACAACAGCCTGTATTTGGTTCATGGTACCCATGTTGGATGGCTTACAACCACTTATATCTCCAGCTCCAGGGGGATCTGATGCCCTCTTTCTGGCCTCTACGGGTACCTGTACTCTTATGCATGTACCTACGTGCACATAATTAAAAAGAAGAGCAAAAAAAATCACCCACAACTTGGAAATAAGGCCCCAGAGGCACACACTTAACCTCATGCATCTCAGACAACACCAGTTTGCCCTAAAATACAAGCCAACCTTAGTATACCTCTATCTGATCACTGTCTCCTGAGGAGACTGGGATGGGGGTAACACAATGATGATAATAATGACATTAAATGACTTGCCTTCACAGAGGAGGCACTACAAAGCTTTGGGGCTGTGGCCTTGAAAGGTACGGGTCTCTCTCGTGAAGCTGAACACGTGGGTCTCTACCGTTGCTCTGTATCTGCTTCAGCCTCCCTCCAATGCCTGCTGGAGAGCTGAAGGGAACAGCTGAACCTAGAGCACAGCCTGCAGCGCCCAAAGAGTCAGGGATGGAGTGGAACAGGTCACATAACTCAAGCTGTCATGTCTCACCACAAACATCAGCCACCATGACCCCGACAAGCCAGAGAGGCAGAGAGGGGTGCGGGGCCCCTACAAGTCCCTACAGCCTAAATGAAGCTTGGAGGGTTGGAGGTACCCAGCCCTCCAAGTTGTGATGGAGAAACAAGGGGTAGTGACCTGGTTACAAAGAGGGACAAGGATACAGAGATAAGTGGCCACCTGCCTCAGTAAACTGCCCTGTTTCTGTCATCCTGCCTGGGCTGGTGTAGAGAGGTCCACGTGGTCTCCAAAGCCTTGAAGACAGAGCTGAGGCTCTGGTCTAGCCTGCTGTCACTCACCTTTCCTTGAACTCCAGGAAGACCTTGGCCAGGGTACTGCCACCAGCCATCATGGACACATCAATGGCACGCAGAAAGCTGTGGTGCACCTTGATGAGGTCCTAGAGGGAAAGCAGCGTCAGTGTATGGCCAGGCACACCCGGGACCTGCTGGCCAAACACACCCATGAGGTGCTGCTTGGTATTCACCCAAGCTTGTGAATGCCAGTGTCACTCAGCTGGAAGTTTCTGGCAGGTGTGTCTATAATTTTTTTTGACCTGGCAGCCCAGTGCCATCAACAGGGTTGGCATTCAAGAACCTCACAATTTAACTACAAAGAAATATAAAGCAAAAGAAGTCGCCATGTTTTAGGTGAACTTGAGATTTAGTGTTAGGGCTGCATTCAAAGCCATCCTGGGCCAAATGCTCTGCCCTCCACCAAGCCACAGGTTGAACACCCCTGTCACAGTGCCCAGCACATAAGAACACTAGAGCACATTCCTGTCATGCAGTAGAGGGAGTGGCTGTTTTGGGCTAACAGTCTTGTAGGCCTCCCTGCTGTACAGGAACTGGGAGCTGAGTGGCTGTGGGCTCTCAGTTTCTGCAAGGTGTAATGCCTTACTACATCACCTTGGCCTGGAGGAAGCATGCTTCTTCAAGTTTCCCAGCAGAGAGAGAACAGTGCACGGCACACTGGCCACCCCTCTTCCCTCCCAGCTTCTTTTCTGTCCTAAGTCAGACAGTAAAAGGGACACTCTGGTCAGCCCTGTGTGGAAGAGTAAGATTCACCGATTTCCCCAGCCCCACCCTAGTCCCTGCTCTGACAGAGGCAGTAAGAGAGCATGCTGTGGAGGGCATCCACTCATGTGTGGCATCTGGAGTCGTAAGCCAGCCGCCTGCACAGGTTAACCTTCACACAGAGTCATCTGGTGTACATGAGTGGTCAGGTGCCTGCAGAGCGGGTGTGGGGCACGCTTTCCTCCGTGCTATCCAGAAGCCCTGCTTATAGTCCCGTGGGTCTCAAGTCCCTTCCAGAGCGCTGTGAATCTTTGCTCAGCTGACAACTAGCATGGAACATGGAAAAGTCTCAGGCCACGCCTCATCTTCTGCCTCCCGAAACCGCAGTCCCCAGAATGAGAAACAGCTGCATGCCCGGCAGGAACATGCCAGAATGCGTACCTCCAGGTTGATGAAGATGGCAGCCATGTCCGCTGGGCTCAGCACCAGCCGCAGGGGGCCCATGTAGTTCTGGAAGGAAGAAGTTTATGCTGCCACTCAGTATGTAGGGTACTTGCCACACTCACAGCCAAAGCTGCCAGGCACAGGGAGGTGCTCAGTGCTCACTGGACAGCACATGAAAAGGGAATAATGGGCAAAGCAGACCGCAAACCATGCCCTCAGCACAGCTCTGTGGAGGCCACAACACGGCCAGCCTGGGCCAAGGGACAGTGTGCCCGGGACCCTTGGCTGGAGGCTTCACTCACCACACTGGGGCCAACTCCACACCAGAGAACAGCCAGGAGAATTTTAGCCTGACAATGATGTTGCTCTTTACACAAGAACACAGATGCATCGGGAAGATTTGACAGCCAGGCCTATTGGGTGGTGATGGGGGCCAGGTGGTTGGGTAGAGGTCACTGGCAGTACTCGGGCTCAGGTGACATCTAGCCAAAGGCCCGTCACATCGAATATGCTACAGGCCTGGCCACCAGCTAAGGCACCACAGGACAAGGAGGGGCTCAGGGAACTTAGCTCAAGATCTGAACTCACATGTTCAAAACATGTGCAAGCATGGCTGGTTTAGACAGGAACTCTGCGAAGACATGCAGGAGAGCCCAGGGGGCTTTCCACAGAACAAGGGAGGCTCCAGTGTATGATGGCAAGGAGGAGGGGCTGCTATCCCAGTAAGTGCCAACTTGACACAGTCTAGAGTCACTTGAGAAGGGAGCTTTAATGGAGGGATCGCCCAGCTCAGGCTATCCTGTGGGCCTGCCTGTGGGGGGCTGGCTTGATTATTAACTGAAGCAGGAGGACCCAGCCCACTGTGACCAGCAGCAGCCCTTGGCCAGGTGGTCCTGGTCTGTGTAAGAAAGCAGCTAAGCGGGAGCCTGAATGGGCCAGCAAACAGCTTTCCTCCAGGGTTCCTGCTTGAATTCCTGCACTGACTTCCTTCAATGGTGACTGCAATGACAAAGCCAGGATAAAATACACTCCTCTCTCCCCTAAGCTCCTTTGGTCAGTGTTTTACAACTGCGACAGAGAGACCAGGAGAAGAGGCACTAAGCCCTCCACCCTGGTGTTCTGGGCGGAGCCGAGGCTCACCTTCTCAATGTCCTCCAGGGTGCGGTAGTACTTGGCCTCGGTCTCCTGAATCTCCAGCAAGCAGCAGCTTCTCTTGTCATCCTCGGTCATGCCCATTTTCTACAGGAGACATGAGATGTGAGCCAGGATCCGATCCCACTACCTGCACACCCAGGTCCCCATCTTTCCCATGAGGCCCTTGGCTACCTGCCCCACACAACAGGGTGACATCTTCCCAGGATGGCCGCAAGACTACTGAATGTACAGTGAGGTCGGGGGCTCTTCCCATCATCTGTGGTTGAGGGAACTGAGGCGCGTGGACAGGAGAGGACTTAGTGAGAGCACCAAGGAAGGCACGGAAACTTCTAGACTCCTGGGTATCACTCACTCCTGACTCGGAGCCTCGAGCTCCGAGTCCTCACAAGACTGAAGCGAAGGCCTCAGGAGACAGCCCTACCACATGCAGGTGAGGTGTGCTCATGGTACTTGTGCGAGTGGGTCAGCCCTGTCCAGCAGCTGGCATTGACCAATTCTTTGAAGACCAAGCTGATCTATTCTGGCTTCCTAATACCAAATGTCCCGCAGGCCAGACTTCCTGAGAAGCCACCTGCCTCTGCGCAGAAGGCCCAGGATAGCAGCTCATCAATGGGTCACCTGAGGACAGACCTCCATAGCAAGGAGGACAGGCCTGATTGAGACACGCCTGCACAGGGTGGGATGAAGCAGGGGTTTGGCCCCGGTCAGGCTGTGGTGGGCTTGCTTTATAGCTACTTTCTTTGGGTTCTCTCAGGCTCAGAGAACCTGGTCTGCCCCCAAAGGACTCCAAAGACATGACACTCAACAGGGACCTACCCAGGTGTACTCTTGTTGGTCCTAAGAGGTCCCTCTATAACGTGCCACAGTACTCTCCAGCACTGAGCAAAGCGGGGGCCTGGTGAGGTCCATCACTACCTGAGGCTGCGTGGGATGGGGTGGGAATAAGATCCTTGGAAGAGATCTTGATTCAAGACCCCGTACAACCCTGTGTGCCTGGCAGTGTGTCACTAGGGACACGGTCCTGAGCTGTCTCTATGACCTCTGCTACCTTCCCGACAGGTGGGAAGACACAGCTGGCGGGAGCCCGCCTGGCCTTGTCTTACCTGCAACTTACCTGCATGTATCTGATCTGAATGCATGGAGGGGCAAACAAGATTGAACCAGTCAGCAGTGTCCACTGTCCTCAAGTGACGCTTGGGGAATCAAGGATACCGCTGACAGCCCACCCCACTGTTAGCCCACGTCACAGCCCTCCCCGGAGCCTGCTGAGAAAGGGCCAGGACACTACATAAGGATGAGAGAAAGAGAGAGCCTCCTGGCTGATCCTGCCATGCCTGGGCTCTCAAAGCTGCACCTGTCTTTATCTTATTTGATAGAAAGTGCATTCCAGTTACCTCACACTTAAGACAGTTTGGTTCAGCTAGTTCCGGACAGGATGAGAAGTGGGGGAACCCATTGTTTATCTCAGAGGCCCCTCACGGCAGTAAGTCTACATCCCCTCTGTGGATGGACCAGACAGCTCAAATCCAACACCTGCACTGGGCATTAGAACATCGGCTGTCCTTCAGAACACAGACAAGTCCACCCCTGCCCTGGTGTTCTTCAGGACCAGGGACAGTGACAGGCTCCTGGAGGAGCTGCAGGAGTCTCAACACAGAGCCTGGCAGCCTGGGCATGGGGGCCCTTCAAATATGCCCCAGGCTACTGTGCCTGGATGCTGATGGTTACCCCCAGGGCTCCCATCTTGACAAGGACTCTGAAGTGATGAGGCCTTAATAAACCTGGTGATGTTTCCTAGGCCATGTCGGGCCAGCTCTGGGGGAGCCCCAATCAGGCTGCCTGCAAGGCTAGAGAGCAGAGCCTCTCTGCTCTGGAGCAGAGGCCTGAGCATGATGGAGAAGGGGACTTATTATTAGATTCTCAGGCACAAATGTGTGCCATGTTCTTAAGGGTGGCATGAGATACTGCAATGCCCCAAGCATAGCCTTCTATCTCTTCTTACAAGCCGGGGACACAGCAGGATGCCACTAGCCTGTAAAAGGCTCTCGAGGCTCTTCAAGATTCTTCTCTGACACCAGCTGGAGGCTCCCACACAGACAGGAGACAGAAATATTGGCTTTTGATAAATTTCCCACTTCTTCAGGAACACAAATGCATCAAAAGCCTCCACAACTGACAAGTGGCATGGTGCTCACCTTTGGGGAGTTCAGGGGTCAATGGGAGCAGTGGCCTGCCCCTCCAGGGCCCCCTCTCTGCATCCCTCCAGGATGGACCCCCCCCCACTTTCCACACAGCAGATGTTGGCAATAAGCCGGAGCTGGCACAAAACATCGTCCGCAAGATCATTAGCCAAGGCTGCGTGGAAATAAATACCCTTCAACATAAAAGGCATGCAGCTGGCCGACAGAGCCCACACGGCTCTCCTCATTCTCCGCACAAAGAGGTACGATGGCGTGTGCTCAGTCACACTGTGTTAGACTGAACATGGAACCGCTATTTAAGGCTCTCTGGATAGGAAGGACTAAGGATCTTCCAAAGAAAATTTTGTAGCCACCCCGTTGGAGAGGCTCAACAGTCATAGGTGGCATCTAGGGCACCCCAGTGTCCCGGCAGGGCTGCAAGGGCATTGCAGGGGAGCCCAGGGGGATCGGGAAGGACCCGTCTTGTCTCTGTGCTCAGGGCAGGGTGGGGGTGCTCACCATGGGCTGCTGCACCTCCACTTTGATGATATCTTCGTAGATGTCATCCCCTTCATCTTCACACGGGACACAGTCGTAGATGTCCTCACCCAGGTCATGCTCGCTGCACAGGGAAGGGTGGGTGAGCAAGGCAGAAAGGTCCAGGCGCCTGGACTGGGGGCTGAAAAGCATTTCCAGGCGCCTGGCAAGGTCACCCACCTCGGCTCAGGCTCCCCATCTACAAAGTGGAGTTTAAGTGGGGTTGGGCAGAGGCTGTCATGGGGATCTGCCTGTCTTCAAAGGTTCTTTCTTTCCCAGCGACGCCCGGATCCTGGAGTAAATGCTGGAGACACCAGCCAGAAGCCCTGGTGTGAGACACCTTCCTCCACTGGGATCCTCTTTGGCTGGTCAGCAGAAATGGGCAGCCCCTACCCCAGAGCAGAACAGCCCCTACCCCAGAGCAGAGCAGAACTCCCATCTCAGCCCGTGCCCAGGATCCCCGAGTTCTCTGAGAAGCTAGCCCAAGGTCTCCACCATCCTTGTGTCCCCATCATTAAGATCAAGGGTACAGGACCCACATACGGCTGCCTTTCACACACTGCGGACACCAAGTAGGATGGAGGAATAGAGAGAGAGATGGAATACACGGTGTACTTCTCAAGTTAGAACTCGCGAAAGCAAAGACCAACTTAAAACTTGGAGAAGTTTTGATTCTGCTCACAACTCTTTGGCTTTCTCCAAACTACCTGTGACAACTAATTAACACTGTCAACCTGATGTGTGCCTATGATCACTATGGTCCTTTGACAATGGCTCCAACAGGCTTATTTAATGTTTGGTCTCTAGTTGGTAGAACTGTTTAGGAAGGATTAGAGGGTGTGGCCTTCCTGGAGGAAGTGTGTCACTGGGGATGGACTTTGAGGTTTCTTTTTTTTTTTTTTTTTTTTGGTTTTTACAAGACAGGGTTTCTCTGTATTGTTTTGGAGGCTATCGGTCCAGCCCGGCCTTGAACTCACAGAGATCCGCCTGCCTCTGCCTCCCGAGTGCTGGGATTAAAGGCGCGTGCCACCACCACCCGTCGGACTTTGAGGTTTCTAAGGCCAACGCCAAACCCAGACAGCCTTCCAGTCTCCCTCTCTCTGCCTCCAACTTGTAGATCACAAGATGTAAACTCTCAGCTACTGCAATGGCTGGCCTGCCTGCTGCCATGTTCCCCGCTATGATACTCATGGACTTACCCTCTGAAACTGTAAGCAAAGCCCCCAATTAAATGCTTTCTTTTATAAGTTGCATTGACCTTGGTATCTCTTCACAACAACAGAAAAACAGCCATGATAATTGCCTAGGAGACAAAGCTCTGAGCCCGCCTGAGGGAATCTCTAGAGTGGGCTGACTGAAGTGGGAAGGCCCACCTCGAATGCAGGAAGCATTATTCCATGGGGTGGGACCCTGTACCGAGTAAAAGGAGAAAGCAAGTTGAGCACCAGCAGTCACCTCCGCCCCCCCCACCCCTGCTTCCTGACTGCGGGTGCAATGTTTACATCTTAAACCACAGCAGGAAGCAGAGAGAGTGCACTGAAAATGGCTTTCATGTTTAATGGCTTTAAACTCCCAAAGCCTGCTTCTGGTGACATACTCTCCTCCACCACCCTCCACCAGCAGGGCCATACCTCCCAAACACTGCCAACAACCAGGAGCCACGTGCTTAAATGCCCAAGACTATGGGGGACATTTGTCATTCAAGCCACCACTGTTACCTCCGGCAAGAGTGCTCTGTGACCTCTTCACCCGTGTCCAGGAGTACAGTCCCCAGACCACCTGTCCATCTCATGCCCGTTGCCCTTAACTGTGCCCTGGGGTTCAGAGATGCAGACAGCAGCCCTGAGCTGAGTAGCAGTGAGATCCCACAGGCCAAAGGCAAAGGTTGGGGAGGGCTGGTGCTTTGGGTATCCCACCTTCGGTCCCAACCCACAAGCGCTAGTCAGAGGACAAGTCAAACCACAACAGTTACATGGAGAACTACCCACCCACCTACCCTTGAGCCTTCTGAATACCCACACCCACATCAAGTATTTTATTGTTGTTTGGTTTCTTTCAAGACAGTCTCAGCTCTGTAGCCCAAGCCGGCTTAGAGCTCACCATGGAGTCACTCATGACAGTACTCCTGCCTCACTAGCCTGCTGAATGCTGTATGGACAGGGATGTGCCATCATGCTCAGCTTAAGTTCTTTTTTTTAATAACTTTTATTTATTATTGTGCATGTGTACACATGGTGGGGAGGCATGTGTGCCACAGTGTGTGGCCAGATCACTTCGTGGACTCCATTCTCTCTTTACGCCATTTTTTGGACTCCAGAGCTCTAACTGAAGTGTCAGGCTCGCATGCAAGCATCTACCCAGTGAGAGCCATCTCGCTGACCCATCGACTTGAGTTTTAAAACAACACTTGTTCTTTTGGGGCCCATAAAATCCTTAGAGGTGGCCAGGCCATTTTGCACATTAAATAATACACCCGTGCTTGCATGCAAACAGGAACACACACACACACACACACACACACACACACACACACTGTGACCTCAGCCCCAACTCTCCTGTCTCTTCTGCCTGTCTGTAGTGGGCATCATCAATGGTGTGCAGACACTGAAGTGACACATCCTCCCACAGGGCAGATGTGACACTCAGAGTGCAGGCTCACCTCAGAACGTCCTGTGGTCTTTCCTGCTGACCCCATCAGAGGGCCCAGCTCTAGGCAGGTCTGTCTGTCTCTTGCAAACTGTCACCAGAGATAACACAAATCATTTCGCCCACCTCTCTGGGCTCTGTGCCAAATTTTGGCCCTGCCACTGCACCCTCCAGACTCGCAGGCCAGGTGAGGGCTTCAGAGTCCTTTCTGGCAGACATCAGCCAGCCCAGCTTCTGTCATGCAGCAAGCAAGGCTGGAGGGAGAGCTGCTGTCTACAATTCCAACCACGTGGAACTGAGGGAAACAGATGTTCCAGGCTTCAGGAGCAGACTGCTCCTGGCGGGTGAGACACCTCCCTGCCTGAAGACAGACACCGGCTTCGCTCCAACGGGCTGGGGGAAGGAAGGGATGGACAGGGAGTTTGTGGAAACATATTCCACAAGCCAGTAGAAGGAGTCAAATGGGTGAAAACTGAGTCTGAATAGGGTCTTCAGGCTGGCAACCAGTCAGCGTTGAAGCCCCAACTTTTTCTCACCCTACCTTGTGAGGATATTCAAGACAATTCCAGGATCACCCAGCTGGGCTCTTCCTAAAAAAAGACCTGTGTACCAACCCTACATCAGCTCTTGAGGTGTAACTCTCACCACATAACTCTTGGTGGTTCTGTCCTACTCGGGCACGCACCTGCCTGTATGCAAACACTACTGTTTCACTTTGATTGACAGAAAGTTTTGTGGCAGCGTTTATAAAGTCCTCCAGTTTTCTTCTTCTACAACACAAAATGACTTGTTGGGTAAGGGTGCTTACCACCAGGCCTGACAACTGAGTTTGGTTCTTGGACTCCACATGGTGGAAAGAACTAATCCCACACACTATCCTCTGAAACTCCACCGCAGGCCATGACTCCTAATTTTGTTAACTGAATGCTGGACACTATGACTGATGGACGCGTCGAGACTCTGGATACTGAAACTTCTGACATCATGTTTATTCTAAGAGTGAACCTAGCTGGACTCCAGCAGGAGGACATCTTGCAGAGAGCAGAGCTGACATGGTCACTGGATTCAGCTCCCAGCTGCCACCAGGTTTTGCCGGGGCTCTTGGGTCCCTTGCTATACAGATGGGATGAAGGGTCAGTTGAGGATGAGGGTAGGTTCTGCTCACTGAGACCCCTGCCTCCCAGCATTCAATGGTTTTCCTAGCCCAAAGTTTCAAACTCTTCCGTGTCCCACCCACAAAACAATTCTAAAGGCCTGAAAACCATGTGGTCAGGTCCACCACAGCCAACAGCCCTGCTTCTCGGTACCAGTTTCTGTCTTAGTCTTGTTTCTGTTGCTGTCAAAATACCCTGACCAAAACAACTTAAGGGAGAAGGGGTTTGTTTGGCTTACAGTTCCAGGTGACAGTCCTTGTTGCAGGGAAGTCAGGCAGCAAGAACTTGAAGCAGACAGTCACATCACACCCAGTCAAGAGCATCGTCCTTTCCCATGATCCCCTGCCAGGGAATGGCTCCATCCACAGTGGGCTAGGTTTTCCCATCTCAATTAACACAATCAACATAACCCCTCACACATGTGCCCAGGGGCTAACCTGATCTAAATAGTCTCTCATTGAGACCCGCAGATGATTTTAGACTGTGTCAAGCTGAGAATTAAAATTAACCATCACCCCTCCCCAGCCTTCAGGGAGTTCTCAGTTCAGTGTTCTGTCCTGCTGCCAGTCTGGATCTTGTTTGTTTGTTTGATGAAACAGGGATCCTCTGTGACTTTGGAGGCTGTCCTGGAACTGGCTCTTGTAAACCAGGCTGGTCTTGAACTCACAGAGACCCGCCTGCCTCTGCCTTCCGAGTGCTGGAATTAAAGGCGTGCACCACCACAGTCAGGCCAGTCTGGATCTGTTCAGCTCCAACCCTGTGGCATTCCTGGCTGGCAGTGGGTCGTTCATGAGGTGGGGCCTCTTGGGAAGACGTTAGGTCACTGAGGGGGGCCGAGAATGGACTATTAAGACCCAGGCCTTCCCCTCTTTTTCCACTTCTCAACTGTCGTTGAGAACGCACCCAGAGGTCAGTGCTACCACAGACTAAAACAACCGAGCCTGGAGACTATGCACAGAAACCATAAACTGCTGCAAACCTGTCTTCTTTTTCGACTGGTTGTTAGGCATTGCTATAGTACCGACAGCTGACAGACATACCTGTGAAGCAGCCTTCTAGAACCCCATCCACTCAAGACCCAGCCTTATGAGACTAACCCTGTACTTTCTCTCAGCTTTTGGAGGCTGTTCGGTGCCTCTGAGGGCATTTTTACATATTTTCCCCCAAGTTTTGCCATTGCTGGCTGCAGAAATGTTGGTCTGACCCTACATTCTGCCATAGCTGAGAGCCAGACCTCCTTAGATATCAAGCAGCCCCCATCTACACCAGCAGGAATGGAGGCTCA